TTTTTTCCGTTTTGGTGAAATAAAACTGAATAATATTTGCTGTTTACATATCAAAGTTTGCCAAATTGTTTCAAAATGTTTGCCCACAGCAAGGCTACGTATCCCCAACATATTGTGCTAGGCACAGTATCACTGGACTGAGGGAGGGCGGTATTCCTCCTTGTAGGTCACCTGCTTGGCAATATGGGACGGGAAAACTGCAGGGGGTGAGGGCAGTAAAGTTGATGGTACAGACAGATAAGAGAGATCATTTTACAAATGTGAAACCTCAGTCCACAAAGAAAGAGGCGAAAGCTGAAACTTCGTGAGGTTTACAAAACAAAGGCAGTTATTTCTAGTTTCTTACTGACTCTCGAAGATACATTTAATAAAACAATTAATGCGCGCGTGTGTGTGTGTGTGTGTGTGTGTGTGTGTGTGTGTGTGTGTGTGTGTGTGTGTGTGTGTGTGTGTGTGCGAGGTAGAAGAAGAATTGTACACCATAAAAATGGCTACGTATGTAGTTGGGGTAGATATGTTGAATGCCCGGCCAGTATGACCTTTGAGTCACTACAGTTTCAGTCATTAAAATGCGTAAAACAGTATTTGAGTGAAAGAAAACACTATAAGTGAGTGAAACAAAAGACCTCAGTACAGGCACACCCAGTCCCCCAACCCCAAGTCTGCATGTATCAATACTCATACCTGCCACATCCTCAACCACTTAACTTACTCACACAATCATCTGACAACATGTTCGCCAACCCTCGTATCACAACGCATGCACGCACGCACACACACACACACACACACACACACACACACACACACACACACACACACACACACACACACACACACATCACATTCTTCTTTCCCCACCATAATGTCTACGTCAGCCATCATGGATCCATACGTATGCTTTCATACATAATCCATCCTCCCACCATTCCCCAACATCCATCGAACTATAACTATATCCGCCCTCATGTATCGGTATTCGTGCTTTCATACATACATACACCCCCCTACCATTCCCCTACATCCATCGCAGTATAGCTATGACTATAACCGCCTTCGTGCATCCGCACTTTGCATTGCATATGCATCGAATTACACGTTTAAAATATCGTAAATATTTTACAACATGTACATATTATATATCAGCAAACAGAGATTATTATAACGCAATATATTTCATCCGTCAAAACATCACAGAAAGAGGGGCAGCCTGGAATTTTACAATGGCATCTGAATGCACTAAGACGTTCAACTGGTCAGGAGGTGAGAGTTGCGGAAGATTACGGTAAACTTCAGTTACAGATCTCCATTACGAATATCTAAAGTATGAATAAAGATCACAGCTTGCTATGACGTGTACTTCCTGCCTGCAGAATTAGCAATGTCCTTAGCTCTAAATTGTATGTCTAAACGCTTATGTAGACAAAGACCCAAATGTGTATAGGCATGACCACGGACGTATATACGTCTTTGGCATGACCATATTATATTCTACGCAAATATCACCACATTTAAAAACAAAGCTAGATTGAGTCTTTGAAGGGCATTAAGAACTGATACACACCAGGAAAAATATTTATGTATGTCAACGGAGGAACACTGCGTTTCGGAATATATACTTTCTCCTTCATCAGGTGCATATTATTAAATGATATGAGGTAGAGAACATATATTTGTACCTGTAAGAACAACAAAAGTAAAAAGATAGCAAAGAAGGGAACGCAACAAGGGAAGCCAACAGATAACTGGCATGGCGCTGATTACCCCGCCTCCCGTTTGCCCATTGTCCATTTCCCATTACCAATCATTCCTAAGTTAAGTTTTGGCTTTAATTTGTCCATTGATAATCAACCATCAACGTCTATTATCTCCACCCTAAAAATATGAAGTTTACTGATAAAGTGGTATCCAATATATAATGTGTGTTACTGTTATCCACTTTCTTAAAGGCATTGTTGGTTCAAAGCTTTCGGTCATAGAAGCCGTGCCATTTTTCTCTTGTCAGAGGAGTACACAAAGTATACGTCATCTGGACTAACATTTTTGGTTCGGTGGCTGGGTTAGATCGCCAACTTTGTGTTCTGGCGATTGGGTGCCTCACTCACAGTGTGAGTTCAAATCCCGGACGGGACTCAACCCAAGAAAGTACGAGCATCTGTACTTTACTCAGAAAGTGTTATCCCAATTATAACATTTGTTGTCAAGAAAACACAATAAATGTATATTCGGCTTTGGATGGATAATGATATCACAGACATATACGGATATTGATGATGACTTGGAGGAGCTTCGTAACGCACGTCTTCTCAATTCAGGGATTGGTAAATCCAAATATGAGTGTGCGCGTGCGTGCGTGCGTGCGTGCGTGCGTAAATGTGGGCCTGTTGGATGTTACATAAAACATTCATCTTGTGGTAGTTCGAGTTGGATTAGCATGTTAACTATATGATCTTCTTTAGGCATAGAATGCCGCGCATGAATGTATTGATGAAATTCCTAGGTACATGGGGCCTTTTCGTCCCCAGGAATACCCACAGTGGAGACTTCAATGGGGATAGGGTGTACACAATGTGCTACCTGGTAGATTGTGTGTCATCAGACCGGACAACGTTGGTCTTTGACTGATTGTGGCGTAAAACACACTTATTCATTTACTTATATAGGAAATTGAATGTTCATCTTAATTGTTATTGTTGAACATGTAATATATTTTTAAAGAAATAAAACAGTGACATAATAACTACAACTTTATGTGAGCGCGAGTAGCTTTTTTGGAATGAGATGAATAAGTCTTATAAAGTTGTAAGCTACTTCACAACCGTGTAACTATGAATTGACTTTATTGGGTAATCAAAAAAGAGATAGGACCTAAAATCGCCAAATTTCATACGATTTCACTTGTCCACCATCTTGGATGCAAGGCGAAAACATTTCAGCGCGTTTGAAGCCACTGAGAATGCCCCCTGCAGAGTTGGACGAACATTCTGCGGTGGCGCGGCTGAGTTGACCAGAGGCTATCAGCAGTATTTCCTGTCCAGGTTATTTAGGTCAGTTGTTTGTGTGTGTGTGTGTGTGTGTGTGTGTGTGTGTGTGTGTGTGCGTGCGCGTGTGAGCGTGTTTGCGTGCGTGCGTGTGGGGGGTGGGGGCGGGGGTAGGGCGTGGGAGGTGAGATTGGGGGGACAGATGATAGATTTAGCAACAAGTAAGGTCATCTTGAGTGGGAGGGTATTCGCAGATGGATTAGCATATGAACTATGATTCTCTTTAGGCAGAAAATGAGGATCCACGATGTTCGACTTGGTAGAAGTGTGTTATCAAACCTCACAGCATTGTTTTTTTGACTGACTGTAGCGTCATTTACTTGAACTGAATGTTTATCTTAATTGTTATGGATAGTCACGGAGCCATGATCCAGAGAGCAGGGTGTCATTAGATAGAAATAAACTAAGTAATAATAGGATTACCAGAAAAACGGGGTTTTACACACAAGCCAATAAACTTCGCTCATTAACACCAGAGTAAGTCAGTACAAGATTGAAAACTGCCCCATAGGTATGTATGACATGCTTGTCGGGTATTGCTACATATATATGTGAAAACAAGGTTATTAAAATGAAGAGCAAAACTGATGAAAGTTAACCATAAACGTGTATACGCGTTATATCGTCACTGCAAAAATAATGATTGTTTGTCTTTAGTATTAACATTCAAATACGTTATATCTGTATTAGCGATATTGTCTTTGTTCCACCGGTGAGTCAGCGTTAGCCCTACTATCTCGTAGTATAATTGTATTTCTGAAGACATCACGATACAGTTTTTACGATGCATCACGTCTGCACTAGCGCTTGATAACAGCCTAGTGTTTGGGTGTTTCAGTGGTTTAAATCGCTGCTCTTGATTTTGTTGATTTAACTTTGATACTATGAACAATATAATGTTATGTGAGAGGTTGACTTTAGAACGGTAACATACTAATAGTATATAGGATGACATAAACAGAACAATGAGAAGTTCGTCCAGATTAGTGTATAGGCAACATTTAATAATTAAAATAATTACATTCAACAATTCCCCTTTTAAGTCCATTTTCCTGACTTATAAGTAAATGCAAGAACAATCGGCCGGAATACAATGTATAGTTCTTGTCCACTTCCATATGACTATATAGCATACAATAAGCTATCGGGTCCCGTTTAGATCGGTTTGGGTGGCAGGCTAGATAGTTTCATCTTGGAATCTCCCATATCACCGGGGATCCTCTTCAATTTAAATGGAGTTACTCGTTACGATTCCGAACCTTCACGTGACTGTGTTTATGAACCATTGTCAAATAGTGGTGACATTAAATCTAGGAAACAATACGCGAAATCGCGCATGCACAGAACGGAAAATTTGGTCAAGGCATTAAGTAATCCGCATGCGCAGAACGATTGATTTCAGTACTTCCGCCAAGCGCTTCGAGTGCAGCGTCAAACGCGGGCCTGTAATCTAACACGCGGGGACTGACCAATGGAATCTGAGAAGTAGAAATACCGGCAGACGCTGTTGCTTGATTGACAATGTCAATCAAGAAAGGGAGGAGCTTAACGCTATCGTTCTCTCCCAGTAAATTCCGATGTCAAATAACGACGTTATTTGGACGGAAAAACGATGGTTTGAAAACGTCCAAATAACGTCGTTTTTCCGTCCAATGACCATATACGGAAAAAAACGACGTTTTCGTGTTTGCAGTGGGCCTGTAACATGTTGGTGGCAACGCTTATGCAGGATTTGTTCATTGTTAAGAATTTAATAAATCAATGATTAAAACGTTAAATGCATGAAAGATGAATTACTAAAATTGAAATTCCGAAAATCTAGATCACTAGCTGTCATTATGAGTTATTATGCGCAGATATCCATTAAACAATAATACCTATGAAACATGTCGCTCAACTTACGTAGTGATACGGGGAATGCGGTTGTAAATGCAGCGTTATTAACCTTATTTTTTACAGGTCAATAGATTTGACAACTGGATGCAGAAGACAACTGATTTCCGGTCATCATCATACTGGCTCATGTTGCTGCCGAAGGAAGATATGTTCATGGTTGAAGCAGTGGGAGGCTGGGTTGACAACATTGCCGTAATATCCGCGCCAACTCCCATCGCAGGCTGCCTGTTTGAGGTACCATCTGGAGGAATGAATCGATATGATTGCCAATCATCTGCTTTTGTGATAGTGACCTTGTGAGCTATATTATGAGAGAGGTGTGGGTTTAGAGGGTGTATTATAATTATGACATGTTAAAACATGATGAAATTGATTTTGAATTTGTCTTGATATTGTTATCTTTTTTTATTTCTAAGATATCGTAACTGAGATACAAATTTGATACCCATAAGACTTTGCAGGTTGTAATTCATATAATCTTATCATCTTATATAAATACTTCATATCGACACATTGAATGTTTTATTACTCATTATAGCTAAAATGGATCATGAAACCGCCCGCATGTTATCAATGAGCGGGCCACTGTAACTTGATAATGCCCTCATATTGCTTGACGACGGGCCATTATTACGCCCGTTGTTAGGTGACGTCATAGGATAGGGAAAGATGACGTCACGTTCAATAGGCTTCTTCAAATGATAATGCCCCGAAAAATAGCGTTACCCTTTTAGCAAAGTTTATTTGTATCTAATTGTCAATCAACAGCGTGTTTTGACATTATCGGTGCAAGATGAGATTTCATAATTGCATTTATTTTCTTTAACCTCGTCCCGTTTTACAATCCCTAAATAAGGCTTATATTAGCGAAGATACCTAGCGTTGAACAAGGACCAATAGCAAACATGGCTGTCAGCTTGAAAAATTCAAATGTATCAAAATAGAAAATAGAAGGATGTGTTTCTGAACACGTCATTAACGCGACACAGTGCACAAACTTACATGAACCAGTATGGCAGAAGGTCTCCGTTGTTGCGGTATGGCACACACTTACCATGTAAAGAGAAGTCTGTGTTCGCAGAATGAAGGATAATACACAAAGCAATAGAGCCAACATCAGACGCAGGTATTGGATGGGGTAGGTAGCCTTGATCAAACCCCCCCCCCCCCCCCCCCCCCTCTAAAAGAAAAAAGAAAGAAATGCAGATCTGATCTTGCACCTTCAATGATTTCACAATTGAGACGTTTTCTTTATGTTTTGAAAACATAACCCCCTGTGTATACATGTTTATTGCTGAAAAGGGTGATTCAGGCAATACAGAAATGGTTGAGTTATGTGAAGAATGCCATCATAACCTTGCTTGCATGTTCGTTTAGGCATATAAAGGCTCGTCTGAGTGTTGGTCTGGGGAAATCCACTCGTTGATGTACCGGGGATCAGTGAGGAACCTAGACGTTGTCTGTCAGTACAACAGAGGTGACATCAAACTATGCTCCTCGAAATCACAGATATTTCCTAATTACAATCAAGGATTTAACGGGAGGCCATTCATTGTGGCTACAAATATGGTAAATGTTACGTGTTTACTTCATTTTAACAACTGAAGAAAGTTACTCGTAAATGAATTGCAACGAGCCGTCACACATGTCACTGTATTTTTCAAGCATCAAAGAAATTTATGAAAACCAAAGCAAATGATTATATTAATAATGTTTTTGCTGGAATTGTAGAGATCGTTGTTCTTCTACTTTCTGCTCAGTTTTGTTTTCGGTTTTGATTTTGTTACAGGCTGTATATTTTAATTAATATTAAAGTGGAATTATTGTTATATATCAATAACATTTCACAAAGGAGTTCTTCCTTCGCCGAAAAAGCTTTCAAAAACGAGAATTTTTTTTAAGAAAGATGGAGTAATAATAATTTAAAAATATAATGTCTGTTGAAAAGAAGGCAATGGGTGTAAAAAAAACATTTAATAAGGCAACAAAAAACCTCAAGTATTTGTACAAATAATGAGATGAGGGCAAACACTTTAAGTTACTAAACTCCAAAAAACTCTGGGTCGCACTTACGGACAAGACATATCTATGATGGACTGATATCTTAGAATTGTAAATATCTATTGATTGAAGTATCTATTTTATATATGTATGTTTTCAAAATAATATCATGTGGACGATTCGGAATAATTGGTCCCCAACCGTTTCACATTCGGTAATTTATTTGTGGTCTAACGTATACATATTTGCGTTTATTATTTGACATAGATGCATTCGTTTGTTAAAATAGTAGCCCATCAAAATTTCAAAGCAAAAATTTATTTCATTCAATGTGCAAACAAACTCAAGGTATTTTTCTTGTCAGAGAATAAGAATATCCTTTAGGCAATGGCGATTTTAATTGGAACCAATTATTTTTGGTGGTTTATTTTCTCAATAGATTTTCATTCAAATGGTAACCTGCAGCTATAAATCAATGTTCTTATTTAACAACTAGTGGTATCCGTTCGTGATGAAGCAAGGGAATAATCAGACATCTACATATGAGGGCTTTTGCATCGATCTTCTTTTCGAAATGGCTGGAGCACTCAATTTCACGTAAGCAGATCTCACAATGGTATATTATTATACTATTCAATTTTTGTACAGGTAAAGTCTGATGTCTTAAATATGGAATTCGATAGTGACATGAAAGGAACGTATTGTCGGTGTCAGAATACATTGTATATGTATACAGTTTTTTAAACTGGTTTCGGTGTCCGGACTTTCCGGATTTCGCTGCAAAAGAGGGCAGTCGTAAATATACTCTTTAAAAAAAGTAGGTATTAAAACAAAGGAAAGTGTTGACGACAAACGTCATATGCAAAAACGTTTATGTCTGTCAAACCAAAAAACCAAAACACATCCTATAGCCAATACGTTCAAAGTGTCACAGACTGTGATTAGCAGACTTCTGAACAGGTAAAAACAAACCCAAAAGTTTTGACGATTGACCCTGTTGAGGCCGTCCATGGTAAACAATAAGAGTACAGAATCGATTGATCCGAAAGCAGGGTCAAAGAAATCGAGCTCAAAAGGCGAATCGAACTGCTGCAAACTTTCATCAGGCTACTGGAATACGAGTTACTTGTCAGACGATTAGTAATCGCCTACATGCAGCTCATCTCCATGCTTGACATGTTCTCAGATGTAAAGCGTTTCACTTTGTACTTCCTTGGTAGGGGTGGTCATGTCGGGCGGCGTCGAAATCACCTTCCAGCCAATCCTATCTCCCTTCAAGATCGCTAGGGGGCACGGGTGGCCCAGTCGTCTAAGGCGCCGCGATTCGCTGTGCAGAGTTGCGTCCCTTGGGCACGCCAGAAACCTATGATTGTGGGTTCAAATCCCGGTTTACCCCGATTATGTTTCTAGGTTTGTCAGCACCATGCCCGTGCTCGTGGGTTTCACCGAAGTGAGGCCTGCATCACTTCGGGCTTTCCTCCACATTAAGCTGACACGCCACAATGTAACTGGAATATTGTTAAAAGCAGCGTTAAACCCAACCCACTCACTCACTCAAGATCGCTGGCGGTCATAAGATCTACTGTCATACTTCATTACCGGTTGCAACATATTCTTAATTAATATTACAATTATTACTAGAAACTAATATCTCTTACAATTTGGGAAAGTTTAAGTTATTTCTGAATATCTCCTACTTTTTTTAAAGAGTATACTTGTACATGGATCTTGAGACAACCATACTTCGGGTTACTCTTAACATAAACATAGGTCACAGTTTCCATAATGTCTGTGACAGGCGACTAACGGGATCGGGTGGTCGGGCTCACTGACTTGGTTGATGCATGTCATCGTATCCCAATTGCATGGATCGATGACATGTATCAACCAAGTCAGTGAGCCCGACCACCCGATCCCAATTGCATGGATCGAGGCCAGTGAAGATGCATGTCTTCAATCCCAATTGCGTTGATCGATGCTCATGATGTTAATCACATAATTAATTTACATGTAATTTACAACGAATGCGTGATTACAATTTGGAACTGATGTTACTCATTCTCAGACTGATTACAGCAATCAATTTGACACACATTTATCATGACAATCCTTCATGCGTGGTGCTAAGACACACGGGCACAATAATAAGGGCATACACGTTATACCTTTATGTGTATCCATTGAGTGTGTCACTTAACACTACATCCACTATAAACGTTTGTGAATGTTAGTGACTTGTCATGATTCTCCGGATGGTGGACCCGTGAAGATCCGGGGTAGAATAGGTCTTCAGCAACCCATGCTTGCCGTAAAAGGTGACTATGCTTGTCGTAAAAGGCGACTAACGGGATCGGGTGGTCAGGCTCGCTGACTTTGTTGATGCATGTCATCAATCCCAATTGCGTGGATCGATGCTCATGCTATTCATCACTGTATTGTCTGGTCCAGACTCGATTATTTACGGACCGCCTTCATATAGCTGGAATATTGCTGAGTGCGGCGTTACATAACAAACAAACAAACAAACCAACTAAGCATGGATCGATGCTCAGGATATCAATCACTGGATTGTCTGGTCCAGACTCGATTATTTACATACAAACTGCCGTCATATAGCTGGAATATTGCTGAGTGCGGCGTTAAACAACAAACAAACACACGAACCATTATGTCTCCTCTGACTTGTGTAACGGTAAATGGTATATCTCCAAGAGCATTGTTCCTAACTGTCTTGAACTATAATACTAGCACATATTACCATCGAGAATATCACATAAGAACATAACACAAAACTACACTAAAATATCACTCTTCCCAAGTGGAAAGCACCCCATTGCAAGGAAGTCCCTTGAGTCTTAGTCAGCAATTGAAAGGTTTCCATTTTTGAAGAGTGTATCTTTACTTGGTACTTTTGATTAAATTGGAAACTAATTTTAGTTTGCAAATCGTCCTGTGATATGTTAGTGTAGTTTTCAGTAATGTTTTCATGTGATGTTCTCGATGGTAATATGTATTGGTATTATATATAATTGACACATTTCCTAGGGTAAATAGCTGTAAACTTGCTGATGCCACGCTGGACAAGATTTACCCACAGACACCATACAACACCCACAGTAATGGAAACTATACAAACATTCCCGATATTTTGAAACGCATATTACCAAATTCAGGCTTGTTGTAATACATGCTAATAAATGTGACGATATATGGTCCAATTAACTTCAGGTATAAACTGATAGAACCACCTGATGGAGAATGGGGCACCAATACCAATGGCCAATACAGTGGATTAATTGGTCAGCTGCAGAGAAAGGTGAATATTATGTTTGTACTTTAAGCTTAGGCTCAAGGATAGTTTTCCTGTATGCCCTTTAAGGGTTCCGGGGCACTAGTCTGATTTGTTGCAATCATAAATATTACACTGGAAAAGGAATGATCAAATGACATTTGGGTATGAATAGTTATAGGAATATGCTGGATAGTAATAGAGGAAAAGCTTTTCTTCATGGCTTCTGTGGCCTCGTTGAGTGATGATGCCATACACTACCGCAGACGTTTTGACCGATCCTGTCACTTTTACTGGTTTGTATCCTCAAGGCCTGATCAGAACCTTTGATAGAACATGCAGATCACTTCAACTAAAAGGGTTTGCATCGCGATAGCTGTGAGTAACGACCATTTGATATTGTGGAGGGAGTTGGAAGCGGGGGAACTAAATGGATGTCCTGAAAATACTGTTTTGTGAAATTAATTGGTTTGGTTCATCTTCTCACAGAAAATAAATGCGTGTTTTCAAGCAGAAAAAAATACCCGGTCTCAATACTGGTCATTATTCATATGTTTACTTACTGCTGTGTCTGAAGCGATTATTAACAGTCTGTCTTGAAACTTGAATATTGCTGCCTGAAGCGTAAAAGAACATTTAAAACAACATCTCCTCACTCACACATTCGTCCAGCAAGACACGTGGCAATATCCATGCAAGGCCGGTGGATTGAGAGGGATTGTTTCCCTAGACGCGATTTCTCTCTATTGGTATTGCCCGTACTTTTATAGATATAATAAAAGATTAAACTTGCGTCTCACTGCAGGAGGTTGCGATTCAGGGATAGAATAAGTCTTCAGCAACCCATGCTTGCCGTAAAAGGTGACTATGCTTGTCGTAAAAGGCAACTAACGGGATCGGGTGGTCATGCTCGCTGACTTGGTTGATGCATGTCATCTATCCCAATTGCGTGGATCGATGCTCATGATATTAATCACTGGATTGTCTGGTCCAGACTCGATTATTTACAGACCGTTTCATATAGCTGGAATAATGCTGGGTGCGGCGTAAAACAAAAAAACAACCAACCAACCAACTGTAGGAGGTTGCTCGTAGTATCAACTACTGGTTTGCCTGGGGCAGGTTCCATTATGTACACGCCAACGTGATATAGTTGGAAATAAATAATGCTGACTGCGGCGTTAACAACAAGCAAACAATGAATGATCAGTTTTCTTACAATAGCAATAAACGTTTGTTGTTTCGCTGCAGGATGTCGACATGGTGGTAGCCCCCATTTCAATGTCACACGACAGGGAGAAGGTCATGGATTCCACATACCCTTTCTATAACGACGTTGGCACTGGCGTCTATCGCATTCCTGACTCAAGCGTTAAAGAATGGTTGATTCTGTCGCTTCCCTTCAGTTGGGTGGTCCATGTATTTATAGCATGTGCTTTCGTATTCTCCGTGGGGCTGGTGCATTTCTTACACAGGTGCCAGAAGGATGAAGTAGAAGGATCAATAGATTTTTCAGCAGATGCTCTTCGTGTTTTCGGTATATTTCTTCGACAAGGTAAGTTTTATTATTTTATGACACCGATTGTTTAGATACTTTGGAAATAATCTGTGATGCAGTCTGGGCAGATGTTAAGTCAAAATGGTTAACTACTTAAAGGATGACTAGGTTCTCACAATATTTGAGTACACTGATTGCGTGTCATCCTTTCCGACTGCGTAAATAGTTACACCAGGCTCTCCACCGCCCCGCCCAGCTAGCGACTATGTCCCATTTTGACTTATCCCGTTTTGACTACTCAAAAATACGCAAAAAATTGTTCAGCCCTTTGGTAATGACCCAGGCCACACAGCTTCATTCACTAATAAAGTCATATGTTCTATTAATGAGTTTTTAGTTAGTTCAAAAGTTAGATAGGTTTTTATATAAGCAACATACAAGAGGAAGCATGCATAGATTACCCTTGAAGTCTGCTTCGAACCACGAAACTGATACACGTTCATCAGACCCGTGATGATCCGGGGTAGAATAGGTCTTCAGCAGCCCATGCATGACGTAAGAGGCGACGAACGGGATACGGTGGCAAGGCTCACTTATTTGGTTGATGCATGTCTTCGTATCCCAATTGCATGGATAAAATCTCATGAATGTAAATCACTGGATTGTCTGGTCCGGACTCGATTATTTACAGAATATGGCCGAGTGCAGCGTTAAACAACAAAGAAACAAACATCATCATGACATTGGTCGTAGGACGACCATTCAGTTCCTGAGTAGGGCACACCTCCTTCTTAAACTCTCCTACGAACTGAATCAGTTTACGTAAAAACAGAAATCCTGAAAACTGACCACCGTGTATATTTATTATATTTTAAATTCATATGCAGTATAATGTTTTCATATTAAATCGCAGAGCTAAATGAAATACTGCTTAACACATATGACTGTGCCTGCTTTGTGAATAAAAAATGTATGTATCTGAAATATATATGTATATATGTGTAAGATTGGATGAAAAGTGAATGAAATGATTATGGATATATACCATACACGTGAAAGGATGCAATTTAATGCCACCATAAGATGAACATGTGAAATGTATGTTTGCATACAAGATAACTGACCGTAAGAAGAGCTAATGAAATGAATAAATGCCTACATATTACTGTTTTGCCATTTCCCATTTTGACTACTCAGACACCGAAAATCTATACAGTGTGAGACTTCTTCAGATGTACATAGTTGGTTGGTTTGTTGTTTAACGCCGCACTCAGCTATATGACGGCGGTATGTAAATAAATAGTCTGGACCAGACAATCCAGTGATTAATATCATGAGCATCGATCAACGCAATTGGGATCGATGACATGTATCAACCAATCCCGTTAGTCGCCTTTTACGACAAGCATAGTCGCCTTTTACGGCAAGTATGGGTTGCTGAAGACCTATTCTACCCCGTAGCCTTCACAGGTCAGATGTACGTGGAGAAGTATAGGGGTGATTGGTAGTATCAGCGGTCACTGAACCATGAAGTATATATTTATTTAAGCAGAAACTCACAATGAGAAATAGTCAAACCGAAAAGACACCCACAAGTATTCCTGATCAAGACTTGATTATTTAAAGGCCGTCGTTATATAGATCGAATATTGCTTCGGCTATACCCATTCCATGGTAGGACAGCATATTTAGCTCCAATGTACCCTGAGCCCAGAGTCGTGTAGGAAAAAGCTTGACATCTACCGGAAAATGTAGTCTAAACATCTGTGTTCTATTTTTCTACGTCACGACACTCAGATGCAATATGCAGTATTTCCTTCCCATGGTCATAAGAAATCTCTGCTAAAACAGAGTCGAGTGCACGATTCCGACTGTATCATGAATGTGCATTTATGAATCGCTATGCAATAAGTGTTCGCGAACAGGTGATTGTGTCCTACCCCACTTGCATGAACACATGCAAAGGCAAGTCACCGTAAACCGAAACTTAAATAAATTAAAGAGTGACAATGCATTTATTTGAAAAAAAGAGTTGCTTTTCAGTCGAGATTTGTATTTGAAATTGGATCAAATAAGTCTCAAAAGAAGAAAGCTTTATTCGAAATTTCTGATCAAAAACAAAGATTCAGTCAGATTTGTCATGAGCCACAACGCCAAAAACATGAACTAAACCTAATATAAAAAAAAAAAAATGTCCAAAGATTGCTTGATATTGCCATGGCGTTATAATGTTAACCAATCATAATAACCTACAATGTACTTACATGGAATTGACAACTCATCGAGTCTTGTTGAGTTTTAAATCATATTAACAACCTCTGATCGAAACTAATGATTTAATGGTCGCATATTCGCGAGGGATACATTCCTAGTAGTAAAGTCATAGGTGGTGGGAACGTCCAAAATTTATAATAATAAAAACAAATGTATGTCATAAAACTGAATTCCTGGGGTTTCAACAATATTCTAAGAATGTGTTGCAATTCACTTGGGCAAAACTGACATTGAATTGCAATTTTTAGGAACAAGTGAAATCACCCACTTCGACGTCATGTACGCGACGTCATGGTGGTTCATCAGTGTGTAGTTTCACTTTCTTGAGAGCTGTCCACATAACGTTTGCCTGCGAAGTATCGGTCATATATGAGAGTTAAAAACGCAATGCTTGTCTACACATACAGTGATATACGTTTTAAAGGCTATTTCCGGTACGTCTACTTCACCTTTAAAACTACCTTATTCTGATTGGTCATATATGCGAGATAAAAACGCAATGCGTGTCGACACATGCAGTGATATACGTTTTTTAAAGGCTATTTTCGATAAGTCTACCTCACCTTTACAAACTACTTTATTCTGATGGGTCAAATCCCAATATGCACCTCTGATTGAAACAGATGATTTGGTATTATCGTGGAAGCTAATATTTTTGTTAAAGAATACGTCCTTCTGTCTCAATCAATGATGATAGGCATTTTGAAATAATTACAATTATAGGCTAAAACTGCAGCGTTGCGGTTACTACAATATTCAAAGTAAGTGTAATAATAGAGTTACGCAGGAAAAAGATACACTTGTGTGAGCATGAAATTTATCACCTTGCTATGTATGACTGTGACGTCATATCATTTGTTACTTCATAACAGTGACGTGCGGTGTAGAACTAAACCTTGCAAGACTCGCTTCATTTTCAGGTGAACAATTGACTAGCCTTTGCTTATGTTTGTGACGAGTGCCACCGGCGGGGCAGGATAGGTTCATCTTTTCGCGAACACCTGGTGTCATCACTATTAATTTTGATAGTGGTTCATAAACACATGCCCATGATATAGTCAAAATCGCCCTATCGTCCAATTTCGTATAAACGAAAATGAAAAGGGAATGTCCCGTTAATGTCTTATGGAGGAGCTGTTCACATATTATCTTCGCTAACGGTAAAGAGTTCTCGTCTTATTTGATTACAATCTGTCAGAAAAATGGTATCAAAGAAACATTACAGATATCAAATATTATGTACATGTATTTTCATTTGCAGGTTTCAATATCAAACTGCGATCCTCTTCGACTGCCATATTTGTGGGCTTACTTTGTCTGTTCGCGACCATCATCTCCGCTGTCTACTCTGGTAATCTCATCGCCTTCCTCACAGTCGCTAAGGAGACAAAGCCGTTCAACACCATCCCGGAAGTAGCCGACCAGACGGATTACACGTGGGGAATACACGGAGGGACTCTGTGGGTGAACGTGTTCCAGGTGCGCGATCACAGACACGTTCATCACTGGGAGAAGCCCTTGGGGTGTCATTAGACCGTTCAGGCAATATTCCCAAACAATTAGGGCTTGGAGACCTATGCACATCGGAAAAAGAACAAACTGTGGATAACGCATGCCATTATCTCGTAAAAGTTGACATATAGTACAAAACATTGTTCTGTGTGATCACTAGCTGTCCAATCAGAGGTTCAAATATGTCATAGGGTCTGAATGATTACCTCTGTTTTATGTAGATAAGATCTCCTCCAGGAAACGTTTGAAATTTATTATCATCATTACAATACCCGTACATAAAGGTTTGAGGTCACGCAACATTAGGAACATTTATATGGGTGAGTGAGTGAGGTTGGTTTAACGCCACTTTTACGGCATTACAGTTATATCGCGACGTGTCAGCTTAATGTGGGAGGAAAGCCCGAAGTAATGCAGGTCTCGGACGTTTACCGCTTCGGTGAAACCCACGAGCACGGGTATGGTAGAAAAATAATCGGGGCGAACCGGGATTCGAACCCACAATCATAGGTTTCTGGTGTGCCCAAGGGACGCAATTCTGCACAGCGAATGGCGGCGCCTTAGACGACTGGGCCGACCGTGCCAAGCCACCCCCACCCCATGAATATGATAAAATGAATATTTAATAAGTGTAAACATAATAACATATTTTAATTTCAAATTTGTTTATGAATGCATAGGGATATGCATCTTATTATAAAAGTTTCTTTGAGAAGGAAGTTTGAAAGGATTATGAAATTATTTAATTGGTTTGCATAAATAGAACATTTTCTGATATAATGAACAAAACTGTTGTACCAAAGCCCTATATTTACAGAGCTCAACGAATCCCTCATTTATGAAAATCTGGGATAGTATTCTGAAATCCAACCTATCAGATCCCGGTGTTCTGCATATCTCAGCGGACTACCACAAGGCGCGGATGGAAGCAGGCGGCTACGTCTTCTTCACAGAGTCGGACATTGGAAGTATATGGGCCACACAAAACTGCGACGTCAGGTTGCTCAAAGACTATTTCTACAGGATCCAATACGCTATTGGACTACCCCAGAATTCGCCTTATGGAGAATTGGTGTCTGATATGTAAGTTTAACTCGGCTTAACGGATGAAATTTCCACATATGTAGTGGTTATTATACCCTAAACTGTCACACAAGACACGGCGTCTGCATGCATGTTTTATATTTTCACACTGAATAATGGGCCCTGTTTATCGAGATTTCGGACCACAATCAAGGGCACCTTGCCTTACCGACCATTACTGTAAGTTAGAGTAGAAGATGCTCTACTTAAATACAAATCACCCTGAACCATTTATTCTTTTATCCGGTAATTTATTTATCTTGTCGATTTCTCAAAGAAGGGTACCAATTGTATACAATGTATATAACAGCGACGTCATTTTGATTGTTGACCAATTGCAAACTGAATCGTCTCGGTGATAAATACAGTTAATTTCATTCATATGTCGTGTCTGAACCTATTAAAGAATCCATGTATGATAAAGTATTAACCGTTAATGAATAGTGTATCATCTGTCGTGTTCCAGAATTTTCCCCGAAATATGTTGTAAATGTATGTCTATTTCTAGAGTTCTCAAGTTCCATGAAAGCGGCTTGATGGGTGCATGGAAGCAAAAATGGTGGCCTAAGGGCAGTAACTGCTCTTTCACTCAAGTCGTCCACAAGCCAATAGAAATATCTCAACTGCAGAGTGCCTTCTATGTGTTGTTAGTTGGGATATCACTTGCCTTTACTACAATGTGCCTTGAATGCATGGTCCGCATTATCCGACTGCAAAGAGAAGACTCAAAGTAATGCCTTCCTCGTTATCGAATTGCTATAGTTACATATTGACTTATATTTGTATAGATTGATTATTGTATTTGAACATGTCTTGTCTATTAAAATGGCGAGGTGCCAATTACCATCGTTTGTAGTTTGTTCCGTCCATATCTTAAGCATCAAGCTTTAAAAGCAACTTATGCACGGGGAAAAAGTCGTCTAGGGCGAGTTAACAGTTGCGTTCCTAGGGCGTCCAAGAACCCTTTATCTTAGGTTCGTAACGGTTCACGTTGGTCTGCACATCACGCCGTGATATTACAGTTACTGAAATATTTTTCAAAGCTTTATAAAATTCATTTCAAGTCGTGAATGGCAAGGAGACGAATGGTGTTGCTGGAACAGCTCTGTCGTTTTCTATTGATATTCTTGGGGAATGGAGGAATGTTTTCTAACGTTGTAGTCAGCAGAATTTCTGCCATTTCACGGTGACCTGTACAAAGTCTAATCAAGTCTGGACCAGGTAAACCAGTGACTGATAGATGAGCAACGGATCACGATGACGCGCAGCAGCTAAGACACCATCCTTACCTTAATTAAGTCGCCATTCACGACAAACACATTGTGGTTCTACCCCGTTGTCCCCACGGGTCTTTTAGGTCCTGACTTTATCGAACACTCAAATTCCATTCTCAGCTTATTCTAGGGAGTATGCAACCCAAGCTGCCTTATGATGTGCCAGGAGGCATATTCCGAACAAAGGGGACACCACATGTGCTTCGTGTGTTTCTGTCTGCAGCAAGGCAGAAGTCCTAGAAACTCTCAGAAGTCGAGCTTGCCGAACACGGTCACCTATTAACCAACCAACCAATTAAAGTCCAGAAGGAAGCCTTAGGTGTTAACATTCTTTGACTAAACAGTGTCCTTTAAGAAGATACAACCTTCCCGTCGATCACAAATAATCCTGTAAGAAAGTGCCCTCTTTCGTCAGCTACAAATAGTACAGCAAGAGAGTACTACCTTCCTTCAACCACAAATAGTCCTGTGAGAACGTACTACCTCCATTGAGCCACCATTAGTCCTTTTAGAAAGTACTATATTCTTTCAACTACAAATATTCCTGTAAGAAAGTGCTACCTTCCTTCAACTACAAAAAGCCTACTAAGAAAGAACCGTGAACCACAACAAGTCGAGTAAGTAAGTACTACCTTCCTTCAACCACAAACAAATCGTCTTTGAAGAATTAGCCCTTTTAGAAAGTGCCACGTTCCGTTATCCACAAATAGTCCTGTAAGAAAGTACTACCTTCCTTAAATCACAAAGAATACTGTAAGAAAGTAATACCTGAAGTTCTTTAAATCACAAAGAATACTGTAAGAAAGTAATACCTTCTTTCAACCACAAAGTCCTTTTAGACAGTGCTACTTTCCTTCAACCACAGTCATTTAAGAAAGTACCAAATTCCTTCAACTTCAAACAATTCTGTAAGAGAGTGATTTTGTCCTACAACTGCGAACAGACCCATCAGAAAGTACTGCGTTCCTGCGACCACAAGTAGCTCTGACAGAAAGAGATGTTTTTACACAACGTGTTGCACAATGTGTGATACAGCTGGTATAGTTGCTAAAAAAGTTATTGAATGGCATATGTTCGGATCGTCCAAATTATCAGGAGAGATGATCGATAAATCCAGTTGTCGATTAAGTAGATATCTTAATTATACACAGCAAATTGACTCAAAATAAAGGTATTAATACATTCGAATTATATTTTGGAGTTACACACATGTACAATGATTTCAATATAGAGTCGTGTCATCTTATTTTGTACACCTCTTATATTTCATATACATACATGTTCAAATGTTTTGAAAAGTAATGTTATCCGAAGATCTAATGTCTATTATCTTTGACACTGTGGGCCTCCTTCCCATCCCGAGCTGACATATATAATAAAAACATTCTGACCAAAGTCACTCATTCATATATGCATGTATGTGATATTTTATGATGCTTCAAAGCAGCATACATGTGAAGCATGAAAGAGTTGGTTGAGTGGGTTATATCGCTGACTAAAGTACGAGAATCTGTACTTTACTCAGAAAGTGTTATCCCAAATATAACATTTGTTACATGAAAGTAAACACTCTCTAAAATTACATCACCACTATTACTAATCCATTTGCAGTATTACCGTATACCAGAGGAAATTACCATTACAAAACGGACACGATTGATAAAAAAGGTCAATTACATGTATATCAAAATGTGTTGTACCATCATCCTGGATGTTTCGAGTGAAAAAGTACGTTGACATATGTTTGAATATTCGTCAGATATTAGTCCCTAAGTATATATACACATTGCATCATAGCGAAACACGAGGAACACACACAGGCCGCAACAGTTACTTCACGAAGTAGCGCCTCTTTGCGTTATGATTACGAGTAATATTCTGTTTAAGAAATCATTCAGAAGTAGTGTTCACAGAGAACACAGTTTTAGAGCTGCTTAAATAACTACATTTCTTCTTCTCGTTGTCTTCAGCACTGTTGAATAGGTTCTTTGTCGGGCACAGGTCATAAACACAGCTGATTAGGTTCATTTCAGGCCACACGCCTATTGTTGGTTGGTTCATTGGGCCTATTTAACAATGCTGAGTACACTAATACATCCACATTGTCGTTTTCATGATTTAAAACGGGTCTTCTGTTTGATGTTCATTTTCAACGATAACCTTTTATTCATTTCCACAATAATGACCCGAAAATTTTCCAGAACCAAAATAAGAAATGCCAGGAAGAGTCCAATGAGGAGCACATAAAATGCACTCTGTAAGTCTTCTAACTCGACAACACGGGTGTTCACTTTCACGTTGTCTTCACAGTGCTCATCACCTGGCCACCACTTTCTTCTCAACAAACTAAGGAGTCCCGCCTTTTCGAACTTCATCAGACTTTGCAGAAAAAAGAAAAAGCGATATGTGTAAATAAAGCGACAAAACCCTTTCCATATCCAATATACATCTCTGCATAAAGCATAGTCGATTGTACGACTCCGACTACATCATGAGCATGTGTTTATGAATCACTATCAAATAGTAAAAATTCCAAGTTTATCCTGCCCCACCGGTGGCACCCGTCACAAACACATGCAAGGTATCTAAGTGCGAAAGCGCAGATTTTCACAATCACTTCATGTAACATATTACACATAGGATGTGAATTGGACTTAAAACAACAATTTCAACCATGCTATTTGACAAATGTAATGAGGACACGTGAGAAGATATGCACGCGGAAAGATACGCCCACAGCCTGGACAGGTTCATTATTGTTATAGTGAATATGATTTGTGCAGCTGGCGTGGAGTCATCCGACTGATAACATCATCACCACGTCACTTGTGCTAGTGAGGTTAATGTCTTTGCTCCGATGGACAAGACCTCCCACCTTGGATCAGGTCCTTCGTTCGAATTCAATCACAGGCCTCAAACATGTTATGTCCGCTGCATTGGTGCACAAAGAGTCTCCATGACCTTTTCAGAAGTAGTGAATCTCACTCGATTGTCTTTTGATATCAAATATTTCTACACGCGTCGATACAAGTGTAAAACTCCGAGGCTTGATGAGAAGTTTTCAACTTTTATCGACGAGTGTTGATATATTTCATATCAAAGACACAAGGATGAACTTTTATTTATCATCCAACATTATTCTTCATTATTCTTTTTGATAAATGGATACTCACACATTGGAAAACACGTCGCGGTAGGGGGAGTGGTTGGGGAGACCCATGCCGTAGGTAATCTGTCTGAATGTCTCCTCCAGTAGTGTAAGTTGACAGTTCTCCTGAGCCCATATTTCCATCACAGACCTGCCGGATTGGGAAGTATTGAGTGAGTTGGGCTCTATGCTGCTTCTATCAGATTTCGGCGGGGGACACCACAAATGGGCTCCACAATTATTATAGCCAAGTCAAGCCTGTATTTCGTACGAGGGCCAAATCACGATGGGGGACACCAGAAATGGGCTTCACACATATTGGAGCCAAGTCAAGTCTTTCTTTCGTATGAGGGCCACTGGCCAATATCCATGACGTTTACATAAATATATACACCAAATGTTTACATAATAATGTACCTGCGTTCATAATGTCTTTCACACATATTCTAGCTTTGTAGGGGTGGCACCGGAGATTTGGTGTGGCGAACGAACGCTTCACTCACGAGGGTTCCCCCGCCGACCCTGAACAGAACCTCAGGTAAATAAACCGCTTGATCGATATTCATCATAACATTTCAAGCAAATATCGGGCTTATCGTCAACACCAAGCTGACATGTTGTGTTACACCGGAAAGACCTTCAAAGAGGCATAAGTTAAGTTATTATAAGTTACCTACATATCAACACAATTTAAATACATCTGCCGAAGACAGCTACAAAGCGGCTGCAATGAAACACTGTTTCTACGCGGGTACAAAGCTGGTCGCAAACAGCCATGATAATCTCACCTATCAGAGAAGAACACATAGTTGCCACCTTCCACCTTCTTCTTGTGGATCTTGGAGGATGGTGCGAGAACTTCCGGGTCAGACTCGCTGAATGTTCTGATACCCTGCCACAGCTTCTGAAAGTCGCTCTGGTTCGAATTCTGAAACCAAATATTTTATGGTTGTTGTACAGTCACCAGCCAAGCCAAACCCTTTTAAAGGCATATGTATAATAATAATAAAGCGTGCTGACAATTGCAAAACATTAAAATTAAACTAGAGCGGGGAATTACATCAGTAGTAGTAGTAGTAGTAGTAGTAGTAGTAGTAGTAGTAGTAGTAGTAGTAGTGGTAGTAGTAGTAGTAGCAGTTGAGGTGTTGTAGATTGTACTAAGCGATGTAGTAGTTCTTGTTTAAGCAATTTTTGTAGTATCGTTTTACAATTATACGAGTATTCATGATTCACAGAACTTGGATATCGACTATATCTCACGTATTAATCGATAGCTTGTTTATATCCTTAAATTACGACACACTATCGTATTACTGAAACCGTAGCCCACGTCGATTTTTCTGTTTGTCAGAGATGATCACTCACATGAAATCTGCTCTGCGGTTTCAAATTGATGACAATGGTGTAACAATAATACGCGGTTACCAAGAAGTCATCTATCATCTAACATTCATGAACGCTGTCAACTTGGGCGAAGTCATAATGATAGAATGAGGCTCATACTTGAACGCCTCTGGTAGATATATTGTGAACAATATTGTGCATGGAGGTAGTTACAACCCTTACTCCGTGAAGTGTTGTACCTGGTTTATGTCGTTAAAAGCCTTCATACCTAAAACCATGCTTTACAGGCTTATTTATTTTATTTCTCTGCAAATTGAGTCAAATAATTTCTCACTATCCCTAAAAGTATTTTTGTCTGAGTAATTTGAATAAACTTTTTCAAATATAAGCGACGGAACCTTTCCATATTCCTGAGAAATATGATGATAACAGGAGGTCGCGTAAATGTAGTGCGTATTCTGCCCCGCAGATGGCACACGCCACGAACACCGACAACATTACTTTCCTCTACTGTATTGTTTCGCTCTACATATTCTCTTTGACAACGAAAATAACTATTTAGACACGTTAGACACTGACATTGTGGGGATCTATAAGATAAGAGAAAATGTTGACGGATTTCATGTCATTTTAACATTATCGATAATGCACAAAGCCAAAACATAACAATAAACTAATCTAAACACCAATTCTAAAGTAATATTATTTCCTGAAATATAGGCACACACTCATAGCATACAACCAACAATACAGTAAGAATCGTAAATCGACTCTGAATTTACCAGATATATCTTGTGGCTAACGAAAGGGTTTTATCGCCTTTATTCAGCTGTAAGGAGAATATTATGAGTAATTACCGCTATCTGCAGCTGCCATAAACTACCGTTAATTGTCCCCCATCTATACTGGCTCTGTTCAGCCATCTCCCGGGAAGTCCTGAAAGGCACGGTCTCCCGAGATATGGTCAGGAACGCTATGAGGTTCCCGCTGTAGGCAGCTGACACCACGATGCAGAACAAAGAGAGAAATGACACCAGGACTCTGCCACTGATTGTCATCGGCTGGTCGTGGCTTCCTGAAAGCATTAAATATGTAACGATGAGCATGCCTTTGATGGGGATATTTCTACTTACAAATGATAATACATAGAAGTATCCGTAGAAACATATCAGTATCCCTATCCAGTGTTGAGAAGTACATTGCTACATATGTGCTCAAAGTAACCGTGATCACATATTTTATTGATAACTGTATGATATGAATAACGGTTACGATGGGCTATATGGATGATCACGTTGATAGTACACAACAGACCACTTAATCGGACGCTTGGAAAGCGTGATGCCGGTTTAAACACAAGTTTATCACCGTTTGGAAAGGTATATCTCTAATGGGGAATGAAAGTAGACATTTCGCCATACATTATGGACAAAGTATAACAGGGAGTGAGTATGGTTTTTCGCGTGATGATCCGGGGTAGAAGAGGTCTTCAGCAACCCATGCTTGCCATAAAAGGCGACTACGCTTGAAGAGGCGAATAACGGGATCGGGTGGTCAGGCTCGCTGACTTGGTTGATGCATGCCATCGTTTCCTAATTGCGCGGATCGATGCTCATGATATCAATTACTGGATTGCCTGATCCAGACTCGATTATTTACAGACCGCCGTCATATAGCTGGGATATTGCTGAGTGCGGCATTAAAAAACATATAAACAAACAAAAAGCAATACTCCAGCAATATTACGTCGGGGGACACCAGAAATGGGCTTCACGCATTGTACCCATGTCTGGAATTGAACCGGGCCTTCAGCATGATGTGCGCTGAATGTAAGTTGGAGTATTTAAATTAGCATGAATAATGTATGTATTCATGGACATATGTCCAGAGGTACGAGAGCGTTAAATGTTCAGTTTTGAAAACGTTTTACTGCACCCGGTAAAGGTTATATGTTGAAGATCAAATTAACGTACACTTTTTCGTACTTGCACGTTACACTGTGTTGAATTATCAGACAATACACCAAAATGTTACATAAGCGATTGAGTTGGTGGACAAAGCAGTCAGCAACATCGCGGCTCCCTGTTAATTAATAATGTCCATATATCCATTAGCAGACATTATATGCCAAGGAGGCGGTGTTGGTTATTGACTGGGACGAGATGAAACACCTTCACTGAACAGGTAAATATACTGTTGCATTCGTCTGGCATGACGGGGGTAACGAAGACTGGGAAGAAGCTTGTTGAAACATGAGTACGACCCACGTCATCCAGGTACGATAACATACAACCAGCCTGGTCAAAGAGTCTGACCACTCGAACACCATTTTAGTTGGATTTGACAACATGCATGGGGCTCTGAAGGTCTTCTCTGCGTATTGCATGAACAAACGAATAGTGAAAACACTTCCTTGTAAGTTTGGTTGAATTATCGCGTAAATGATTGAATTGGCATAATGAACGGACAAACTTACGCTACCAACAGATGTGTTTGGCCCTGCATACATACCGTTCTTCAGAAATATTCCCCATATATACCAAAATGAGTCTTCTGCAACCCGATCGTCTTCTTTTCTCTGTTGACGTTTAGCTATGTGTTTCCTTCTTTCGTTCTCCATTACATATAACAGCAGTGTCAAACCAGCAACAACTGTCCCGAGACACACCAAAACTTCCCACTTGAGGGGTTTCAGTAGCGTCGCCCAGCGTCTCAATCCGGGTCTTTTAAAGATGGCGCCTGCAGCATCGTGGAAGTATGGGTACGTGAAATCCATCACAGCTTCTCGATCTTCTCGAACGGTCAGTGGGGCCAAAACCATGTCCACCTCCTGTGGACATTGACCATGATGTATTCATGCATTCGTCGCGATCAGTTCTACAATTTGTATAAAATACACATTCGTGAGGTTGTCTGATATTGTATTGCATATGTCAAATTTGGAAGCGGGTGATAAATATAGATGGGTAAAACTGTGAACAAACAAACCAACCCCTTATTATTTTTCTCAAACAATTAAGATAGTTTTTTGCTGTGTTTCTTAGCTTTCAAGCATGTTTAGGATCATTGGCTCAGCGGCTTGCACCCCTTCGTTGTGATAGGAGCCGCTGGTCTGAGCTTTGTACATCCATTTATCCTTGATTATGATCAGGGCTTTTAAACAACATTTGCATGTACTTTCCAGTCGGCTTCACTAATAAATGTGATGACTCGAAGTGGTGTAAATGAAATCATAATATTAAGAGGAGTGTTAAAATCACTCTGGTTTGAACTAAACACTGGGTATAATTTGATGATCTTCTATTCCGTTTATCTATAGTTACCCCGAAACACCGAGCACGCACCACAAAGGTTTTTAAACCAACATCCACTCGCTAACCTATGTATCACTTCCCGTATACGAGTTGTTAATGACAGCGTCATGTCTCGAACTAATGAAAGCATCCAGTGCCTGATTTAATCAATAGTCGCGTGGTTGTTAAGGCAAATTCTAACACAACTCGTTATTTTGATTCCTTGTAAAGCACAGTGCATATGCATTCATTTTGTTTCATTTAAAAACAATACCACTGCACCGTTGTGCATGCTTAATGTTGACAGACAATTAATATATCTCTGGGGAAATCCTTGCATTGTTGGTGTTGTTTCCTAGGTGATGTGTAACATTTTGAACGATGGTTTAGGGCCTCATACATGTATCATGTTATCCACCAAGCACTCAATCTAATTGCAGCACAATGAATAACGGCAGTAACAACAATTAAAGATAATGGTATCTTTAATATCAGATCACTACCAGCTCCTTGGCTGTGTTACCTTGAATTGTACTTGTCTGATCAGCCCATTCCAGGAATCGTTCTGAAAGGTCCCCCACTCACCGTCCGGGGGCTCTGTGAGTCTGTACCTATAAAACCATCAGTCAGGTACCATTAGCTCTGCTTACCAAACCCCTCAAACCTTTACATGAGTTAACTGGTTAAAGGAAAGATTCAGATTTATAAGTGAGTGCACTGGTGATGTTGTGGTGTGTGTTTTGTTTCTGAGAGAGATTTGGCTTTCATACACTCAATTTGACATAATTATGTTTATGTAGCGTTGAACTACTACTACTACTACTACTACTACTACTACTAACAATAATAATAATAATAATAATACCATCACCAATAACAACAGATGAGGTGAAATGGGATTTAAGGTCGCGTCCAAGATCATTGCACTAATAAAGCGACGTGCATGCACGTGTGTGTGTGTGTGGCTGTTTGTACTAGACCGGACTGATGCCGATTTATAGGGCTAGTCCACTGAGATACCATGCCGCAGTTTAACATGAATACCCCACTCAGACACAGTATACTGACTCCGAGCCGACCAGTCCATTTTTAGCCCAGTAATGCCGAGCGCCAGACAGGGTAAAAACAAGTTACTGTACTATCTTTTAATGTCTTATGGTATGACGCGGCCGGGCAGACCTTCATCTCTTCGGGTAGAAGCTCTACCACTAGACCACGGAGGCCGTCTGATAACAATAATATATAATTTATTATATAAAATCCGGTATTTAAATTGGATATATGTTATTCGAAAATGTTCGTGGCCTAATATTCGACAAAGGGTGCGTCAAAACGCAGCTATTGTCGCTTTGCAACGTCTTAAACGGCATTGATTTACAACTTGTTAAAAAATGTCATGGAGGAAAACAGTAAAGCAAAATGTACGTGCAAGTTCTGTCATTCGTAACTCGTAGTAGTGGCTTTAAAAAGGCAAACATAAGCCAATAATTTGTCATTCAATTGTCAACATTTTTCAAGTTCGATAATGCCTAGACTCAGCGCTGAAGATCGGAACATCGCCAAAGGACGTATCCAAAGAGGGGAATCGCCGTTGCCTGTTGCACGTCACTTCAACGTCCACCTCAACACCACTTGCCGCCTTTGGGACCGATACACACAGTTCAGCGCAGCCTTGTGGCCTTAAGTGACATGACAACGAACGGTTTTCAATGCCTTTGTACAACGACAACATGTGACTATCGACCTCCAAAAGTTCATATCTGTATCAATGATATTGAATTAAATATATCGACTTTATTAGGTACAATAAAAATACTAAAAATTTGCCCGTGCGTGTAATATATAATATAAACAAGTGATTTCATCAGGTGTAAAAGAATATAGATATTCGTGCTTGTAAAATCTCTTTTATCCTTTACACGCACGAAATTATGCTCTTAGCACGACAAATACGCGAGTGAAAGTTAAATATGGCGATCTCTCTCGATTTCAGCGATTTCCTTTGTTTCCGAACTGGCTCCACTTGTGAGCGAATGTAGGACACAATATCAGAGACATATGTTAATGGGTATTGTGTTTGAACCAGGGTGACCCAACGATGACTCAGTAGGAAGGCATAACATCATCTCTTCATTTGACCGGACTGGATTATTGATTACAACTGATCAAACAAGAACGCGATAAAGAGGTGCGATCATGCTTCACTTTGCACTTACTGAAATGAGCTGTCATCTTTTTTTGCACAAATCCAACCCTTTCAAACAGTATCATGAACTGTATGGATAATATTTTAATTTGCTAAAGGCATATGTCGACTCTATGCCATCATGCATCAACAAGTTTCAGAGGATGTGATTATCTAATGTTTGAATGTTAAGGAAAATATATTTCATACATTTCTTATAAATATTATATGCGGTTGATCCTATCCGCTCCTCATCGTAGTCACTTATTCTGAATAAAATTTTGTGTCTCGTTTCCGGTTTTGGAGTCAATGATACCAATCCAATTTCAGGAGAGATGGCAAAACAAAACGATAAACATGTTATTCATAATCATTGACATCAACTGCTGTAGAGGTTAAGTAATTAATACCTTGGATGGATATAACTCTTATTGAGATGGGAAATTGTATCGCAACAACAATATATAATTAATACCTTGGATGGATATCACTATCGTTGCAATGGGAAATTGTATTGCAACAATAATACCCACGTCAAGAATGCATTGTATAATCCGTGTACTTGAAGTCTTTCCTTTGTTGGAACGTTATCGACTTCATGTAACATCCCCCATGTTGCAGTTGATTAGTTCAATAATTAGGTGTGAATTTGTGCGTATTGTTTGATACCGCTGAAGCAATATTCCAGCAATACCACGGCGGGTGACGCCACAAATGTCCTTCGGTAACCATGTGAGAAAACGGACCCAGGAGTGCTAACATAGCGACAACCACTTTAACAACAACATCGTCCCTTCACGATTACACGAACGAGGAGAGGTAACAATGGCATCAAAATAGCTTCGCGGAAAGTGACGCTCACGTTTTAGAAATATATGATCTTGTGAAAATAAAGCATTATCATTATATTCTTGTGACTTATTTTTATAACTCACGTGAAATTTAGTGCTTCAGCAACATTCGAAAGGAGATCTACGCACAGTCCGACCAAATCGACATTGGAACCATTTCGTAGTTTTCGCACAAAGGGGGCGTACTGAAACACAAATAGTATCTGTACCATTTTCACAAGAGTAATGAATAAATCACTGTGGTTGTGAGAGATATTTTCAAAATACACAAAAATGTCCTGCTCGATTGGTGGTACTAAAACAGTTTAACATTTATGCTTTTAATAATATATTATAGAACAAATGTGTGTGAGTGAGTGTGTTGGGTTTATGGCCGTCTTTTACAGAATCCCTGTTATATCACGGAGTGTCAGCTGAATATGGGCGGAAAGGTCGAAGTGATTTTGATATAAGATGTTTATCACTTGAAATCAACGAGCACGGTTATGGTGCTGACAAACCTAAATGTGGAACCATAATCGGGACAAACTTGTGCTTAATTTAACCATGTCCATCTACCAGACATGATAGTTGTACAAGTAATCAACTTGTGGGTGACGTATTGTTATCAAGCATGTTTGTATTCATTACTGATGTCATGCATGGCTGTCAAATTATGTTACGCTGTCCAATGTTTGATTATTTCCATTTATCAAGATGGACTAAGTGAACTAACGTTAATTAAACACTACCCACCTCCTTAGTTGAGACTGTGAGTAGACGTCCATTAAATCCCGTGTTTAGGTTAGGAAACAACTCCCTATTTAAATGGGTGTCCCCCGTTAGATCGAACTGACCAACCAGGCTCAACATCCGACCCTCGTCCTTGTAAAGCAATGTGTGTATCGTCCCATTCCAGGGACTTGATGTTGTGTTCTGGAATAAAGAACGGCGACATGTAACTATACAGCAACAATACTTTTTCCATAATCATAACACATGTCTACTAAAGCAGAGTCAATCAAAAGGTTCCGACAACACCCCGAGCATGTATTTATGAACCACTATCAAACAGTGATGACCCAAGATGTTCGCTAAAAAGTGAGCGTATCCTATCCCACCGGTAGAACTCGTCTTAAAAAACAGATGCAAAGGTTGTCAAATACTCAAACACTAGAACATAGAGTGAAAAGAAGGCATTGCATCGGGCATCATTTTGGTAAAAGGCATGTGGAACTGGACTGGCAGTCCAAGTTGTCATACATAACTGGGCACTGGAGATCTGTTGTCCTATTGTCCAAACAACTGTCATCGGGTACTGGGATATGTTCGGGTCCTGGTTATTTATATTGTTCATACAAGTATCATTTGTTGTCCAATTGCAGCTACAACTGTCATTGGTTATTGTGTATCTGTTGTCTTATTTTCCTTCAACTATCACTTTGCACCGGGTATTTGACGTCCCTTTGTACCTAAAACTATCATTGGGTACTCGGTATCTTTTTTCCTATTGTCCTTACAACTATCATTGGGCACTGTGGATCTGTTGTTCCATCGTCCTTACAGATATGATTAGGCACTGGGTAATTGGTGTCCTAATATTAATATAACTACCATTGGGCAATGGAGACCTGTGGTCCTTATGTCCCTACAACTATCATTGGGAACCGGGGACCTGTTGTGACAATGATCCTACAACTATCATTGGGAACCGGGGACCTGTTGTGACAATGATCCTACAACTAACATTGGGAACCGGGGACCTGTTGTGACAATGACCCTACAACTATCATTGGGAACCGGGGACCTGTTGTGACAATGACCCTACAACTATCATTGGGAACCGGGGACCTATTAGGACAATGACCCTACAACTATCATTGGGAACCGGGGATTTGTTGTGACAATGACCCTTCAACTATCATTGGGAACCGGGGACCTGTTGTGACAATGACCCTACAACTATCATTGGGAACCGGGGACCTGTTGTGACAATGACCCTACAACTATCATTGGGAACCGGGGACCTGTTGTGACAATGACCCTACAACTATCATTGGGAACCGGGGACCTATTAGGACAATGACCCTACAACTATCATTGGGAACCGGGGATTTGTTGTGACAATGACCCTTCAACTATCATTGGGAACCGGGGACCTGTTGTGACAATGACCCTACAACTATCATTGGGAACCGGGGACCTGTTGTGACAATGACCCTACAACTATCATTGGGAACCGGGGACCTGTTGTGACAATGACCCTACAACTATCATTGGGAACCGGGGATTTTTTGTGACAATGACTCTACAACTATCATTTGACACTTGGGATCTGTTGACCTGTTGGCTCTACAGCTTTTATTGGGTAAGGTAGATCTGATGTTCTATTATCCCAAAAACTATCATTGGGTACTGGGAATCTGTACTGTTGTTTTGTTGTCGCTACGCAGATAATTGTTTTACTTCCTTTTTTCTGTCCATAATTACTGATTCACCTCGTTTTTATGCCGAGCCGCTATAACCCTACAGTATATGTCAGAAGCTCATTTCAAGACAATCTAATATGCATCGCTTACAAACATATATATTGTTTGTATTTATTCTCCACATGCATATAACTCTCCCAATATAAATTAACTATGCGTGTAAATCAATAGTACATTACCGGTTTTACATTTCTAGATTCCAATTTCATGTGTATAATCATTTGAAAACCCATTACAGTCCTTTCTACCTGGTGTGATATCAGTGCTGTGTCGTTCTGTCTCGCTGGTTCTAATGTGTCACAGAGGAGGGATGACACGACCTGCAAAAAACGTTTGTATTTTCAGTCGATGTAGTCGGATAATAGTCAGTGAGATAGGTTTGGCGACACTTTGAACGGAATTTTAGTGTGTCACGTAGAAACAGCTTACAAAGAGAAGAACACTAGAATTGACACAAGTCGTAGAGTATTTACGATTTTGATCCACTTCCTGGCATTGTTTTTTTAAACCAAATATTATAATAAAGGGCAAATCACAACCAACGATTCTGGTTCGACCAATGGATACAACACTGCATTGCAAATTGTTAGGCTTCGACCACTGACTCCCCCGATTCCCCGTTATTTAATAATTATTCATCAACTGTCACCGCAGTGCTACTTGCATCATTTCATACTTATTCAGATTTATATACTGATAGAGCCAAAGAGAGGGACACATAAAAATACTGAATATGAAAGTTACATCTTCGTTCAATATTAGATCTACATATCAGTGAGCGAGTGAGCGTCTGAAATATGCTTTCCGTACCAAGGATGCATGTACATAATTGAATCTGGAGAGGCATACAAGTAAAGAAAAGCATGATCAATGAGTCACATCAACCACGAAGCATAACCTGACCAGAAAACCATTAGCCTCATTCTTATCCTGATCCCATCGGTCATCTTCACATAAAAGCATAAGGCAGAGGAAATTGTTGTCCCTTGAGCCATTTTCAACACATGTTTCAACTGTAGTGAAACCTCGTTATTCCCGTTTCCTTCCGGGCGAACATTTGTGGTGATGTCCTGACTCAAATATTTTCAGCCGACGATATATTTTTGACAAGATGCTTAATGCTGAATCACAAGGATATCATAAAACGTTATACTATAGCTACCTTCCACGATGACGTGTCCAATATTTCTGGATAGCTGACAACGACTACGTTATCGAGGAGTGGAGATATGTCTTGCACGACATGACGATGTGCAGCTGGTAACACCACAATCCACGATGTCAGAGATATGATCCCTGTCGATCTGTCGTCCATTGTTGAAGCCTGAAAAATAGCCTGAGCTAATTGGGAAATATATTTCACTATCTGACCACGAATAGGGATAGACACATGGTCATGGTCTTCGGCCTCTGCATGGCGTATATAGTTAACTGAACATATCATATTTACTGTTTGAAAATGGGAAACACATAGATATATTGAAGATTAATGGTTATGAATGTTTAAGTAAAACTGCTTAATTGCATCAAAATACAACGTTTACAAAGGTGGTAGACTACGGTGGCCCATTAAAAAGTATTTCCACCGCGGTGAAAATATTATCAGCTCGGTGGAAATACTTTTCTGTATTTTATTTTAGTTTTTGACATTTTCGCTTTTGTTTTTGACATTTTCGTTTTTGTTTTTGACATTCCCGTCTTAGTTTTTGACATTTTCGCTTAACATCTCAGCGATTCAATAGCTACTTGAAAGTACATTTTCCATGTTTTTGGTTGTTTTTATATGTGATTTATCACATAGTTGTATGACAAAATGTGTTTATTTGCAAAAGATTACGATAAAAGTAAGTGAAATATCAAGATATTGAAAAACAGACATGTCCATGTCCCTTATGGGCCACTGTAGTAGACATCTAAAACATATCCTCCTACATCGACACACTCTAATATATCTGAAATAATGTTCAAAGAGGCGTTAAACACACAATAAGTCACTGAATGTTTTGTTGGTATCAGGTGTGATCACTACATTGTCCACAATGGTTGGGGTACATACAAAACGTCATTCCAAATTCATTATTCCCTATGACCTACATGTAAATTACCACAGTCCCCCGTGGCTACATGATCCGATCCTAATACATAACTCATAGTGACAGTGGAACCTTTACAAGACAAAAGAGACAAAACTATTTCCATAATTACAAAGAATATCTGGTAAAAGTGGATCGTGTACGATTCCGACTATATCATTATATTCCATTATTTTATAAATGCCCCGTATTGGAATTTGGGAGCTGTGAAATCACCAATACCTAATTAAAAAACTTTAATGGAATTTGGGTATGTAAATATGACGTAGCTCAATGTACATGGAGGCCATCGTACACCGCTGGTCTTTTGTCTGTTCCATATTAGATTTATGGGTTACTGCGCGCCGCAGTACACGTTGAAGTACTACTGACTTCTCGCCTCAACACAGGTCCAATGTTACTGTCTTGCAATAAAGGATAATCGGATTAACCTTCTTAGTTGCTACCACATGCACTCAAGAACTCAACTTTGCGACTGTTTTGAAATTCCCTTTTTAATGGTATATTCATAAGTCTACCACTTAGTATATTTATGAAAAATGTATTTGATACGTTCCTACCACAATAACCCAACACTCAGTTTGCATCGTGCTAACAAACACAAGGCATTGATTGGCCCCCGATCACACTTAAACCATCAGCCGGCTGTCACCCGCCACGCTCCAATTTATATTACATATACAAGTCAGACAAACAGCACGATGAGCCGTTCTAGCGGTTGGCTGTATTTGTAGTTTTATAGGGCTCGGGGTATATATAATCCCATCAGTTGGGCTAAACATCTACTGGATACTACTATCTACATGAATGGATACTTAACATTATCAGGTACATGCATGGTTAATTAATATTCTCTGGATATGCTCTCTATTATCTTCATGTGGTTATACATATATGTGTACACAATAGATGACTCCAAGGTATTTTTCAATTTTCTTTATTTGATGTCTGTTCAACTGGTTACAGTCCAGTGATGTTCACGTGCTTCTGTCACACAGTTGATAAATCTACTTTTTGTCCAAAAATTTAAAATTATATATGCTTAGGTTTTCTTATTTGCTTTATTTCTGTGATTTTTCTTCTGGTATTTTCGACTTGCTTGAGTAATTATCCTTCTCACTGCTTGAACATGGGTAATGCAACTTGAACAAAAGATACTTTAGTTAAATGTCTTTCCAGGGAGAAGTCATCAAAAGATTTATCTCTATGCTGACAACCAGCCTCGTTCTGACTTAGAGAAGTGATGGTTTTAAAGAATCTTTACCACGACGCCCTGTAAATAGTTGCGACAATCCCGTGACAAATCATCGCTCCACGCCTACATACAATAACACGCAATCGCCAAACTAGACTTATTTCATTTTAGTCGGCTAGTACAACAAGCAAAATGTACTGTGACAATATCTAACTACATCATTAAGCTTCATATCTTATATCACAAAAAAATTTCTGTCTAATGGCGTAAGTCAGCAATGATCAGTACCTTGTCCGGTTACAAACTGATCACAACAAACACCCGATACCGATTTTTATTCGGATCTTATCCGAGTAAAGCCTGAAAAGTTAAGTTCTGATGCAAAATACACAGAAACAAGGCTTAACATTACCGTGTCCAATTCAATAACGCGTTTGTAATGTCTCGCCAACGCTTAATATGATACTCCTAGGCTTGTTCCGCTATACGTTTGTGTTTGTTTGTTGTTCAAAGCTGCACTCAGCCCCGAGGTATATGCAGCAGCCTGCAAATAGTCTAGACAAGACAGTCCAGCAATCAATATTGTGGGCAATGAGCCACGGTAACGATGACATAAATCAACTATGATACATGAAGTCAACTCTCACGACCAGCATAGGTTGGGAACCAGTTCTAACCCGGAATCCACATGGAGCTTTAGGTTATACTATAAGGGAAGTTTTCAAAATATCCCTCAGTTTCCCTCATTATGCTTAAGGAACTGCAATATGCTATCGCTAGATTAATCATCTCATATCATCACAAGACCATTAGTTGTGCAGTTATTGTCATTGAACACAATATATCTACATTTATGTCAGTATACCTACGCTGGAGCCACTAAAAATATTCTTGAAGTCATATCTTTATCGACTAATAAAAAGCTCTGTCCAACTGTCTTTGACAAATTGCGCTGATTAATATCATGGCTCATCTGTGTTTTTTGCAATCTGCCCACCAGGCTGAATTGACTTTTACATTAATCAGTAAGCGAACCACACACTTTGTCCAATGTATTTCCCACCGCTGACAAAAAATCGTATTTTATAAACGTCCACACCATGGGAACAGGTACTTCCGATGATGAAGCATCAAACTTTGTCCAATTAGAGACATTTAGCATCCCAAATGTCCCATTTCTACACTTGACAACCATATGTACCACTTACAATTCATCTCCTACCTGCTTGTTGCAGATGTTTGGGGACCAAGTCACGGGATCATTAATAATATATTTGATACAACAATATTCCAAGGGAAATCATTTGCTTATCTATCTTTGATTCTGACACTAATTAAGTACATTCCTTACACTTGTGAGAACGCGCCTTATGATGCGGATGCTGCCTATTATAAGGAAGTTCTTCTTGTCTTCTTTCTCAGTGGTGTATGCCTCCGCCAATATGTCGTTGATGTTGTCCCTGCTTCCAACCAGGTACATCGCAAGTTTGGTCTGAAGTGGTCCAGAGGTAAGTTCAGTTACAACATCATCTGAAAAACAATTAGCAATGCCAAGTGATAATCACTATAATCAAGGTAGCCTAGTCGTCTGAAATCTGAAACAACGAATCAATTATTAACAGCTATCCGGATGGTACTCGGTATGCCCACTCGTCTGAGGTGCCGCAGTTCGTTTCCCAAGTGTACGTCCTTTGAAGTACGCCGTTTCTCAAGTGTACGTACTTTGAAGTACACCGGTTTGGCCCTGATTGTTTCACTCACTCATTATCCGGTTGGTTGGCTGGTTTGTTGTGTAACGCCGCACTCAGCAATATTCCAGCTATATGACGGCGGTCTGTAAATAATCGAGTCTGGACAAGCATAGTCACCTTTTACGGCAAGCATGGATTGCTGAAGACCTATTCTACCCCGAAATCTTCACGGGTCCACTATCCGGAGAATCATGACAAGTAACTAACATTCACTAACGTTTAGAGTGGATATAGTGTTAAGTGACACACTCAATGGATACACATATAGGTATAACGTGTATGTCCTTATTATTGTGCCCGGGTTCGATTCCCGACATGGGTACAATGTGTGAAGCCCATTCCTGGTGTCCCCCGCCGTGATATTGCTGGAATATTGCTAAAAGCGGCGTAAAACCATACTCACTCACTCACTCTATTATTATTGTGCCCGTGTGTCTTAGCACCACGCATGAAGGATTGTCATGACAAATGTGTGTCCTATTGATTGCTATAATCAGTCTGAGAATGGGAAACATCCGTTCCAAATTGTAATCACGCATTCATTGTAAATTACATGTAAATTAATATTTGATTACCTTGTTCATAAGGATAAAAGAATAAAGGATTATATTCTTGATATCCACAAACTATGTCCTGTACATCAGTCATATGTTAAATGCCACATGGACTGTTTTCGACAGATTCGTGTCCGATTACATATGTTAACCTTCATCACCCGATCCGTGTTTATGAAGATAGTAATTTGTGAGTGAGTGAGTGAGTGAGTAATACATGTAACATGGTGTTAAAATGGGATTATCACAATCAGGGCCTATCTGTGATTCGAAGCTATTGCTCACGAATCCTGAAACGACAAGGGGACGCGACTCTTCATCTTATATACGTCTGGGTACCCTCAGATCGAGATAAAATGAACTACTGATTTAGTATAAGTAATGGTATTAATTACCATTATTATATTAATTATTTGAGTATATTCATAGAAGCCAAAACATCACTGATGGCGAAAGCTAAAAATGGTACCCATACATTTAATACATATGTCGAAATGCCTTATTTCAATTCACATTTTACCGCAGGTTCTTGTTGGTGCTCGAACAAATGTGTGAGTGTTGACATTAAACAATGATATTGGTGTTGACGTTTGTACACGTGGTTTGTGGACGAGACCAACGTCCCTCAGTTTTTAATTGTTTTCATACCCAGACTTTCGTTAAGGCACACATGACATTATAGCCATTGTTAGGATTTTGTTAAAACCATTCCGCGTCTCTCTACCCTGAATTCTGTTCACTCCGCTCCATTGATCGCAGAGGAAACAATAGCAGTGTGCGTCGAATGTATTCAGTATGATTCTGATGGGGGAATTGTGCTCGTATCCCATCGGTAGCATGGAATGGCATGTCAGGTTTTCACCTGATCACGAACAAACACGGAAACAAAATGGTACAAGTCAAGGTAAGAAATTGCGTCAGTTTGGAAAAGTCCTCCACGTGTTAATGGCTACCGTTATATGTACGCTTCGCTAAGGTTTTGAATGCTGTGGCCCTGATCAAACAACTTTTGAGCAAGGATGTAATGGTGGCCTTTTAAATCTTAGTAGAAAGAGCGGGGGTACGTTGACCCAGTCGTCTCGGGAGCACGCCGTAAACCTATGGCTGCGGGTTCGCCCCGATTAGGTTTCTAAGTTTGTCAGCACCGTGCCTGTGCTGTGGTAACGGTGATTTCCTTCCATATTAAGCTGACACGCCGTGATATAACTGGAATACTGTTCAAACCTGTGTTAAACCCACCTCTCTCACTCACTAACTCTTGGAAACGGTCGATTGTACAAGCTGAAGCTGGAGCTGGAATATTGCTCGACATACAGGGAAACTTGAATGTGTTATGTACCACACATTCGATCTTCAAATACACACTGTCATTGTTAATACTAATATATGACAGGTACGGTACTGTAATAGATGTATGAAAGTCACATAAGCAAATATCACTGAACCGGTCGCGAAGGACTTGGAAACAGCATACTATTCTACTATACTATACCTTCATACATTACACTATACTACTTTAATTTACATATCTCATTATTATTAGATGACATATAATCACAATTGCCTCAACAAATTAGGTTTGAAAATATATATCCGAAAGTTTTAATTAATAAGCACGAGTTGCAAGTGAATCCAAGGCTCCAGTTATTGTATTAGCGGATCTATTCTATCCCCGGAAATCCAATAATGTGGTAAAGTGGTATTTCAATAAAATATTATCGTTACCATGTACCGTTTCAAAATATTCAGCAATAAACCCAGGTCAGCTAGAATATCGAACAAGGTTCCCACTCAGTCATTCAAAATAACTTAATAATCAACGAGCCTAGTGCTAAATAGGGAACTACCTGACAGTGAGTAAAATTTTAATGTCCTTCAATGAACACACTCCTACAATGTCCATAACTATTCAAATATCAGATTGTCATCATTCGCACGTGTAATTCTAATGTCTCAATTAACGAATCTAAATCCAACCTAGTATATACCCATGAATGAGCCACTTCTACCATGCCTATCTATATCATTCCTACATTCTTGTTAAGATTGTCAATCAATCACACTATTCTTAAATCTTCGAATTTTATTTAAAAAATCTAACTGTCGATCAACTTTCTTCTCATTGCCCATCATTGAACCTAATTCTACAATACGTATAAACGTCCTACATGTAATGGTCAATTAATGAACTTCTAAATACTGATCGACAAACCTACTTCAAAATACTCATCACCGCACCTGGTTGTAAATAGCCATCCGCGAACCTACTTCTAAATACTTATCACCGAACTTGCTGGTAAATATCAAGTTGCATTGCATTTGCACCTACTTCTCGACGCCCTTCAATGAACCTACTTCAATGCCTATCAATAAACGAGCGCCTCCGTAGTCTAGTGGTAGAGCTTCCACCCGGAGAGCGGAAGGTCCGGGGTTCAATCTCCGGCCGCGTCATACCAAAAGTCGTCAAAAGATGGTACTTGTTGTTACCCTGCCTGGCGCTCGGCATTAAGGGGCTAAAACAAGGACTGATCGGCTCGGAGTCAGTATACTGTGTCTGAGTGGGGCATTCATATTAAAACTGCGGCATGGTATGGCTAGCACTATAAAATCGGCATTGGTCCGGACTAGTAATAGCAGACACAGACACACACACACACACACACACACACACACACACACACATGCATGCACGTCGCTATATAAGTGCAATAGTCGTGAACGCGACGTTAAGCCCCTAAACACCTCACCTATCAATGAACCTACTTCTCAAACGCCTTTCCACGAGCCTACTTCTAGATGACCGTTAACGAACCATCTTCTAAAATGTCTATCAATGAACCTCCAAAATTGCACTGTATCTGTCATATTCGGCCTATTCATCGCAGCCCAGATTGCTTGTTCTTTTGTTCATAGTCAGTAGTATATCAGGCCGTAATATGACGCTAGCTACACATGGTAGCATACGGTCTACTTTGAGAACATATGTGTCATACTGATAAACCTTTGTCAGGTCACAAACAAAAAGCTTTTAAGGGCACTGCTGCGTCGCGCAGCATCTGTTTCCAGAATGTTGAACTCGTTTCCATATGGACATAGTTAACCCGAAACGTTTCACATTTGTCCATATTGTCTTCTCTACACATATTATCATAGGACGTACATCTTAGAATAAGGACACGTGTAGGTATATGAATATTTGAAACAGGAAATTACTTCAAGTAGAAGTTTTAATGTCAAATCAAGCTATGAATGTGCACGGATGATAAACCTCACGAGATGGAATTATATGTAATCAACCATCAAACGTGTAATAATAATAGATAATACTTTGGTAGGAAATGTGTTGGTGCTATAATTTACCTTTCAGACTGTCGTGAAAAACGATGGCTGATTTCCACTTGCTTCTGTGTAGAATGTCGTTCAATACACTTCCTATTGGTATCCTGGTCGATGAACTAATTATTTCGGAGACTCTTCCTTGTGGCTGTTGTTTTGGTTTAGCACAACACTTAGTTTTATTCAGCAACCCGTGCTCTTTAGGCTGGTAATAGAATTTCCCGACGCATAAAACCGTCCTATTTTTCCATATAGATGACAGGATGCTGTGCAAGAAACTACCGCACAGAGACGAGGAAATTAACACAACGCTTTTAACGTCTGTTATGTTGCGGATGGCTGTGAACATTGTAAATAAGTCAGAATTGTGTCACAAATTGTAACTGTTATATAACCTTTTTACCGATTTTTCTGAATTATAATCAAAATATTAAAGATTGAATTTTGTATATATGCCCCTTGATGGTTTAATGAAATGCCCTTTGAAATGTGCTTACATGCAGGTAATGCAATTAAGTGTGTACAACAAATGGTAATATTAAGACGTATTCCCTCATAAGGCTACACATGGAGTTATTATCAAATTATCATATTATCAAAGGCTAAATGCCAACCAACCTGTGATCGATTTAAATGAATTGCTGCTATCTGCCAACATATAAAACTGTCTTGCTGGGGTTCTGGACACGATGCTTTGATTCTGTTTGTCCATAATAACTGAATATAGAAAAACAACAGCGTAAGTGAGTATTGTTTTACGCCGCTTTTAGCAAAACTCCAGCAATATCACGGCGGGGAACTAAAGAAATGGGCTTCACACAATGTACCCATTGATCTTTAACTACCAGGCTGCCCCAGCGCCCCGAAAAAGAAAACAATGACAATTTGTTTAATATTCGAGCGTGATAAGATGGTACCTATCACACTATTTATTCAGTGAATAAGGGGCGGTCGGGTAGCCTAGTGGTTAAAGCGTTCGCTCGTCACGCCGAAGACCCGGGTTCGATTCCCGACATGGGTACAATGTGTGAAGCCCATTTCTGGTGTCCCCCGCCGTGATATTGCTGCAAAATTGCTAAAAGCGGCGTAAAACCATATTCACTCACTCACTTCAGTGAATAAAAGGTTATTAGGGATTATTCTATGGTGGGACATTTCCTATTACGGGGCTCCAAGAAAGGGCATTCCTAGGTCAATAACATGTCACCTTCCAATGGAATGTCAACAAACGTTGATACACATAGACATAGGCATCTTTCCTTTCACGCAACGGTGTGCGACTGCAGGTATTCGTGTATATTTTGCACATATTTCCAATATTTACGTTACCACATGCCTAATATGTACAGTCTAATATTTATTTGTATCTCCACTATGACCTCCCTCATCGTCACTGACGTCACTGAAAATTGATTCCAACATGATCATGACACGACAATTCCCTACCACTCCAACACACAAAGGAGTACTTCAATATCTTAGACTGATTCATATGTGTAAACACATTCTCTTAATGATCCGATTACAGTTAATGACCTGGATCAACAATGACCATCTCGGTCAGGTAACGTTAAACTGGTTTCCTAATTCTAGAGATATCGTAGCCATTGTAATAAGGTGACACGTTTTCCTCTTCGTCGTATGAATTGGATGAATATAACGCAAACGGTTTTGGTTGTCATAAATCCGGTTTAACTGACAGTGTAAATTGTAGCTTATAGTCAATTTAAATTGTCTTCCGGGCTGATACGACGTTCGGTTGACATGTATACCAGGATGTGTCCTGTCGAATATGTTGTTTTCATTCTATTTTTTCGAATACAGGTAACTTGCACCTGTACTATTTGTTGATTGTAATCAGGTTATTAGGGATTATTCTATGGTGGGACATTTCCTATTACGGGGCTCCTAGAAGGGGCATTCCTAGGTCAATAACATGTCACCTTCCAATGGAATGTCAACAAACGTTGATACACATAGACATAGGCATCTTTCCTTTCACGCAACGGTGTGCGACTGCAGGTATTCGTGTATATTTTGCACATATTTCCAATATTTACGTTACCACATGCCTAATATGTACAGTCTAATATTTATTTGTATCTCCACTATGACCTCCCTCATCGTCACTGACGTCACTGAAAATTGATTCCAACATGATCATGACACGACAATTCCCTAACACTCCAACACACAAAGGAGTACTTCAATATCTTAGACTGATTCATATGTGTAAACACATTCTCTTAATGATCAGATTACAGTTAATGACCTGGATCAACAATGACCATCTCGGTCAGGTAACGTTAAACTGGTTTCCTAATTCTAGAGATATCGTAGCCATTGTAATAAGGTGACACGTTTTCCTCTTCGTCGTATGAATTGGATGAATATAACGCAAACGGTTTTGGTTGTCATAAATCCGGTTTAACTGACAGTGTAAATTGTAGCTTATAGTCAATTTAAATTGTCTTCCGGGCTGATACGACATTCGGTTGACATGTATACCAGGATGTGTCCTGTCGAATATGTTGTTTTCATTCTATTTTTTCGAATACAGGTAACTTGCACCTGTACTATTTGTTGATTGTAATCAGAACCAATAATATAAATGATTTCTTTAATTTCTGGTTTGATAGGACCAACACATACATCGTTCCAAAACCTACCTCATTTTTAAAAAGAATCACAGTACTATTAATTAATCCACAATGGCAAGAAAGTAGAAACATAATTCATAAGCATTTATCATCTAGATTTGCTGTATCGAATAACGCCACGTTGTATGCCAATAAAGTCGTAAGAAAGTATCGCACGTCTACGATATCGTAAGTAGCCTAAGCCAACAATTTGATAAGTAAGTGTCGGTAACATCGTATTATCTTACGCCTACAATATCGTAAGCAGCGTACTTCTACAATATCTTAAGTGAGCATCGTACTTTTACAATATCTGAAAGTTAGCATCGTACTTTTACAATATCTGAAAGTTAGCATCGTACTCCAACAATGTCGTATGTATCGTACGCCTACAATATCTTATGTAAACAATAGTACTTCTACGAAATCATAAGTAAGTATCGTACGCCTACGATATCGTAAGTAAATGTTAATATCGTACGCCTACAATATCATGTAAGGTGTTGAACGAAGTGTAAGTAGCAACTCACCCAGTGTTGGAGGAAAGGCTTGTATACTTGCCACTAGCGCTAGTAGCACCAGGCTCACCATCATTATCATGTATTTCAAAACCACCCTGTGTAATCATTGGAGGTGTCCTCCCTCGTGTGATGATACAAGCCGCAAAACGTAGACCACATTGGATTTCTTAAAGGTTTGCCCGGACATCGGTGTCTGAATCGATTATCGACATGGCAAATACGTGTGACGTTGTTCTCATCGGTCCCTTCTCATCCCATGGCCAACAAGAACGTAAATGTATTTTACTAAATGACTGGTGCTTAACGGTTATAAAAACACTATGTTTTGAAATCTTGAATTACATGTACTAACTATAGCCCAGCAGGTGATGAGTTGATTCCAAGAATCGATGTAATATCACCACTGTAGAGACGCTTTATCGTAAACTAAACATTACAGCGGTTTGAGGTATTTGCAGGCGCCATGTGAACAGCATTGTTTGCTCATAGCATTCACGCTAGGAGCACAATTGATTTTCTCATGATTATTGTGGATGATGTGTGATAGAAGGATGTGTTACCATGGCTTAGAACGGCTGACTGTTGTCTGGCATTGCTCTTTTAGCAACACAAACAATGATATATTGTTACAGTCTCTCTCCACTCTCTAATAATATAGGCCAGAAAACATACTTGACGTTCATTAGAGAATTCGTTGATCATACACTATCATAGCATAGCGGCCATGATTTGTGAGTGAATATAGTTTTACTCCGCTTTTGTTATAACATCACACTCGGGACACCTGGAGAGGGCTTAAAAAATCGAATCCGGAATATGGGCTTGACATGCGAATGAATCATAAACACATGATAATGATATAGTCGAAATATTACACACAGAGAGTGAGTGAGTTTGGTTTAACGCCGCTTTTAACAGTATTCCAGTTATATCGCGGCGTGTCAGCTTAATGTGGGAGGAAAGCCCGAAGTGATGCAGGTCGCAGACGTTTACCACTTCGGTGAAACCCACGAGCACGGGTATGGTGCTGACAAACCTAGAAACATAATCGGGGCGAACCGGGATTCGAACCCACAATCATAGGTTTCTAGCGTGCCCAAGGGACGCAACTCTGCACAGCGAATCGTGGCGCCTTAGACGACTGGGCCACCCGTGCCCCCTACACACAGAGAGTGAGGGAGAGAGAGCTCAAAGGCTAAATACAACACGTCTTCAATTCTTTGTTAGGAAAGACGTAACCCTAATCCTAAACCTAACCCTTTGGATAGAGTGACAGTTGAGCTGCTTTTTCCGGCTACAGAATGCACTCATCTGTAGACACCGGTGTGTAAATCATATCATTGCAATCCTCACGATCATGCAAATCAAGTTTCATTTTATACGGATTATACACACATTTTATTCATACCGGATGAGGAATTTGTGACGAAGTGTGGATAGTATATTACATCCAGATCCAAATAACAGTTTTCAGCGTGGGTCAGTGGTAGAATGCACAAACTGAAAAAGAAGTAAACTTTATGGAATAAGCCCATTCTGTCCCGGTCAAAATGTCATCCAAAATCTGGCTACCCTACATGAAACATTTGACAAAGACTCAAATGACAGTATATGTAAGCATCACTACATTACTTGTTTGATCAATGGACATGGTATAATTTACATATCAAGTAATGCCATTCATAGGGCCAGTACGATATGAGCCCGAAATCTGCTCAAATAAGTTGCACGCTTCAGTATCATCAACATTTGACTTAAAAATTGAAGACATGTCCATTACTTTTTTGGAAGTGGAATTAATGCCATGCGGATTCTTTAAATAAAGATTTTCTTGATGTTTTACTATCTCTAAGAAGATCCAATTCAATTATGTCAAGACCGTTGATGTTTCAATGGAACATATTTTACAGAATCTATGGAAACTAAATGTCTCATCCATGATACATTACCACTATTCAATGGAACATTAAAGCGGACTCCATAATATTTTGCCCACTACAACCAATCCACGTCTTGATATGCAATGACGAATGTGAAACAGAGACAATTTAGGATAATGCTTAACTGCTAAAATTCACTTCTTAGCAAGGCTGCCCTTACTTCAGTATTTATGAAATAAAATATGCTCAACCCCCATGTGTAATAAATTATAGTTTTGCCCTGAACTGCTTTGGCGTTTATATTTTAAGGGTAAAACATACTCTAATACACTACATATGCCAAATACGCCAAATTAGAAACTAACCTTGTGCTAAATGGCGATTCGTCTAAATTCAATTCAGTGACAATTGTCACAATGTATCTGTTACATCCGTGGCTGTGTTTCCTTGTCACGCCTGTCAACGCAAGGATGGGTTTTATCAGACTCATCGTAAGACATACGGAAGTACTCGGCTCCACTATCATCGTGTGACAGACTAAAGGAGTCGTCAGGTAAACCTCGGAGTACCGGCGCTCTCGTCATTTCCTAGACCACACCGACAAAGACATGGTTTGCTGAAGTGCTGATTAAGCGCCAGTAAAATTAATGTTTGGTTATAATTTCGCTACCTTAAGATATTCTCAATTGAAACTCAAACATATGATAAAATCAAATGAGAGGTATAGTTTCTTTTGCCCCTCAGTTTATTATTTTAACCAAAAGAATGTTATATTCTCATTAATTATATGCATACATCATCAGAAGGAACACATATTTTAAAAATGTTCTTGGTCGTTCGATTGACAAAACATTGATGACAGGTGTTTGTTTAAAAACGAAGGAGTTACTCCGTGTGTTTTATAATTTGATCACGTTCCGCAATTTCTTAAATATTAAATTCAACGGATATTTATGTTTACTTTATGTTCATAAAAACGTAACATAAACCAAACGTGACATATACCCAATCTGTTTCCCGCATCTTATTCGATTTTATCCTGAAAATAGAAGTATAATACTGAGACAAATTTAACAGAATAATCCCATTCTAATGAAACACATACATGTACACGTCCGATATTTAAAATATATTTTTTTCGTTTTGAGTATTTGATTTATGTAATATTGATGTCTAAGAGGTGTGTGTCATTTTCTATCATACAAAGACATTATTTACATGGTTAAAGCAGTAATTATTGATGATAAGGCTACCACTCCATTTATTATGGTGCAATACGAGCCAAATTGCACTTTCTGGTGAATGCGTGATCTGGGAAGTAACGTCAAAGTTAGACAGCGCCATCCATTTCGTGATAATTACTTCCTTATTATGTAGTGCAATATCACCATTGGTTATGATTTAGAATGACGTACCCAAACGTATGAAATTTAGTATCGATATTTGTGTTTCAATAGATTGGTAAATCGTGATAATAATACGGAAATGTATTGTCGTACTCCACAGCAAATTGTCACCAAATGAGCCGAGTTAGAATGGACAAGCGCGTGTGCGAGTGTACACACCTCTGGCTTCTTTAGACGTCATAGAGGAAGTCGATGGTCGTCATTTATGGTAAGCCGTATTTTATATGATAAGCTTACAAATCAATTTGAAATATATTTTTGTTGCTCATATCTTGGGCAATATTGTGTGAGCTTCACAGTTTCCGTGAGGCTGTTACAAAATATAAGACTTAAACGCCAGAGAATAATAAGGCCCGATTATCCGACGGCAGATTCCATTGGGCGTGAGAGGCAAAATAGCAGTCAAGGCTGGTTAGGCTCATCATCAGCTCAGAGCGCTTACCTATACACGGAGCCCAGACAGCGAATGGGAGACTTCTCCCAGGACGCGCTGCCTAGTCAAACCCACCCAGAACTTTTCGGAGAATGTGAAGACTCCCCAACACTGCAGCCTCCTTCATTACCTAGATTGTCAGAAGGGATGTATATCTGGTAGCAAACCCGGGTACTTTCCCAATGTCAGTAAGCAGATTGGGAGGTACGAAACCTAAGGCATCGTGAACAATGGGGAGTCGGACAACTTGGTACTTGGGATCCAAAGGTGACATTTCGAAAGCGAGGTCCGTATATTTGTGATGTTTTTTCTTATCTTATCTTAGATCTTATGAAAATGTGCATTGAAAAATTATCTCGGCATCGAGAGGGTTAAATCCCCTAACGTCAAAATAATGAATTGATGAAACCCATATTCGCCATGATATAGAAACACTAATTTCCCGTGCATTGACAGCCCTATTCATTTCTGAAAGAGGCAATTAATACACCTTAGTTAGATTAACTGCCTGTAGTACAGAAGAAAATTCAATTGCTATCTTTGTTCAGGCGTATGATGAACCGACATTAATGTTTCCATAGCATAGATTGTCACTATATATAAGCTAGCTTACGCTCTCCAGTACTAATTACCGTCTCGGAGACGGACTATAGTGCCATGTATCTTACGTGGATATGGAATTAGATATTTGGTTTAATTCTGATTGGAGCGGTGGCCTAGCCTAATGGTTAAAGCCCTGGTATTGTTGAAAGAGGCAATTAATACACCTTAGTTAGATTAACTGCCTGTAGTACAGAAGCAAACTCAAGTGCTATCTTTGTTCAGGCGTATGATGAACCGACATTAATGTTTCTTAAGCATAGATTGTCACTATATCTAAGCTAGCACACGCTCTCCAGGACTAATTACCGTCTCGGAGACGGACTATAGTGCCATGTATCTTACGTGGATATTGAATTGGATATTTGGTTTCATTCTGATTGGAGCGGTGGCCTAGCCTAATGGTTAAAGCCCTGGTATTGTTGGAATATTGTTAAAAGCGGCGTAAAACCATACTTACTCACTGAGATTCTGATTCTTTCCCTTGAATGTAATTTAAAACACACCTTTTTTTTAAATTTCATTTCCTAGGTTTGTTATCATCTGTGCTATCCCTCTATTGCTATTAATCGTTTGTTTATTGTCCCAGAAAGAATTTAATCATGAATTAACATCAGTGTCCATAAAAGGTACCTGTCTTTTCTTGCAAGCTACTGAAAATAAAACCTAGGAACCCCAAATGGCGAGCTTAATTGGCCATCTCATGATGCGTAAAATTGTTATTAAGCTCTCAAATATGATATTTCGAAACTGGATTTCCTGCTAAAAGTGTCAGTAGATTATAAATGTCTGATTTCTGATTTCATGAATCACTGTAACATTTGTTTTCTCTCTGTTACCAGATTTTTCTACTCAAATCTATGGGCTAGTTAAAACGTATCCAGCTGTCCGGTTGGCTAGTACTGATAGAATAGATCCCCAGCAACCTTTGTTGGTCGTGAGAGCCGACTAAACGGACCGAGGCCTTGGGTGACTTAGATCGTTGCTCATAGTATCAACCACTGGATTATCTGGCCCAGTCTCGATTAATTACAAGCTGTCCTCATTTAAAGAGATAATGTGAAATTTCTCATCGTTTGTGCCTAACAAAGGAAACGTCCAAAACGCAGCACATTATCAATATAAATACAGGGCCCACTTGCACAAAGCGATCCAAGTGCTACAACTATTGTAAGCCTATGTTAAAGTATGGGAGTTACGATCATCTTGGCACTAAGATCGCTTTGTGCAAGTGGGCCGAGGACATGAGATAAAAGAACGTTTCTAATGTAAAACCTTTTGTTATATAAGACAGATACATCCTTGCTGTACAGCTTCATACCATTATAATTTAGTGACTTCATTCTGAACATGGGACATGTTGACAAGATCATGAAAGATACAATTCCTAACAGGATTGGTGGCATGGCCTGCCTTCCTATTTCCACAGCCAATCTACAAATATTACATTTAAACCGAGACAATACATGTATATCATATAACGAGAGGACTGACGAAATGTCTCTCAATATTCATTACTGATTTAAATTGCCCATATAATTTTGATTTGTAAGAAAAGTTCACAGCATGATGCCAGTCTAAACAAAGACAATTATATAACTTTGTTTAAAAGACTTTTGCATCCTAAAAACTCCTATCATACCACGCCGAATATATACTGAAAGAAATCATCCTGAGATTCGATCATGTGGTGAGGGTAATCTACAAGTAATGCAATGACTCTCCAATACATTCGTGAAATCCTATAACTTTGTTGGTGTTCTCACCTCAATACAGTAACTTGAGCAGTAAAACAACATTGAACTTTAGTCCAGGAGGGGGCACGGGTGGCCCAGTCGTCTAAGGCCCCGCGATTCTCTGTGCAGAGTTGCGTCCCTTGGGCACGCCAGAAACCTATGATTGTGGGTTCGAATCCCAGCTCGCCCCGATTTTGTTTCTAGGTTTGTCAGCACCATCTCGTGCTCGTGTGTTTCACCGAAGTGGTAAACGTCTAAGATATGCATCACTTCGGGCTTTCCTCCCACATTAAGCTGACACGCCGTGATATAACTGGAATACTGTTAAAAGCGGCGTTAAACCCAACTCACTCACTCACTCCTTAGTCCAAGAAAGTGTAGGAGTAAACAAAACACCAAAATATCTATAGACATAGACTACATCAATTATTTCGCCCTTGAAATACCACTTCTCATATTGGCGAAGACGTACTCTAGTTTGGCAACATTTACAGGGAGACACAAATATAGTGCAATAGCACTTGATCATGAACACGTGACTTTTAGTAAAAGGAACATTGAGTCTCATATTTGATAAGCATACAACGTCCGTGTTTTCACAAGCCCCCTCATTGCTTTCTGTTATCAAACACCCACGTAACAAAATGCAGTAGTCCGCAATACATCAATATTTAAGATAATTTCAAAGAACATGTCTTTGTGTTTAATAATAATAATAATAATATCCACCCATGGTACGATCCGGAATATGTAGAGAGCGTCATGGAAAATGATAAATACAAAATTCTTTGGAATAGGCCCGTTAACAGCCTCAGACGTATCCAGGCCAACAAACCTGATCTTGTCCTTTTTGATAAATCCAATAAAAACATTGAATTTTCTGTCCCTTTTGACACTAATGTGATTGACAAGATTGAGGAAAATCATGGCAAATATGCGGACCTCGCTTTCGAAATGTCACGCTTGCATCCTATGTGCCAAGTTGTCCGACTCCCCATTGTTCTCGGTGCCTTAGGTTTGGTACCTCCCAATCTGTTGACAGACATTGGGAGAGTACCCGGGTTTGCTACCATGAATACAGTCCTTCTGACAATCTGGGTAATGCAGAAGTCTGCAGTGTTGGGGAGTCTTCACATTCTCCGAAAAGTTCTGGGTGGGTTTGACTAGGCAGCGCGTCCTGGGAGAAGTCTCCGATTCGCTGTCTGGGCTGCGTGTATAGTGGGCAAGAGCCCTGAGCTGATGATGAGCCTAACAAGCCTGACTGTGGCAGGATCACCCAAACTCTCTTTGCTGCATTTTGTATTCAATCTGTATAATAATAATAATGCGCCAAATCCACCCCCAAAGGCATGCTCAAAGCGTTACATGTATTATCCCGGTCAGTGGAACAGAATGCATTTGGTTTTCATTCTCAGCTCCCTGGGTAGTACACAACCCAAACTGCTCGTGAGGCGCTCGTTGCCATTATATCCTACCGGGGACTACCGCACTGCTAAGTAAACAGATGCAAATTTTTAAAAAAAAATCTTGCCAAAGGTGCCATTCATTCAGTATGCTTCCTGCCGTTTTCAAATGCTACAGACATCAATGTTGACGCAGGCATCGTATTCACATGGGCGAATTTTTGGGATTAAAGAATGAAAGATGTTTATCAAATACGATCGAATGGGAAAGAAATTAACTTTTTGGACACCTGGACTGAGGGACTGACTGATAAATTGGTCGATTCCTAAGTGTCCAGAACCTACTCTTTAGAAATCATCTCATTAGTGGTAATCACCCCTGATGTTTATATGGCATATGGGACGTGGACCATTCTACCATTAGGTAGTTACAGGTCAGTACGAGTCACGTACCCATAATCACCATGGTTCAACATTCTGAGACCATTGTGTCCATTGTTTCATATCCTATATGTTGCCCTAATTGGGGAATATATAGTATATAACTGCCACTATACTTGGCTGTCTCATTATTGATTACCAGAACGACTTGGCTATTCCCATCGACAGCTATTTCTTGTCGTAGTCACAAAGTGCAATTTTGAAGTATACATTTTATCTGAACACGGTTACGAGCGTAACATTTGTTCCAGGGCAATGCATTATGCTCATCTTTAGTGTTGATTTTGATCCATAATAGGATTATTCGTTCTCTCTCAGTTCCTATATTCAGCTAACGTGTCGGGATTGGCGGCTGAGCTGAATGTATTCACGTGCTGGAACCTCGCTCAAGATGACGGAACTCTTCAGATATTGCTTTTTTCTACTGATCCTTGAAACTGGATGTGCTCAAAATATTCCTTTGGATATATGTAAGTACTGCATATGTTTTGGATATATATTCTTTTAGTAGTGAAGATCAATATGAAACTATTCACATAGAGAATCCAAATTCATCACTGACGGACACCAATGTATTTGCTTCCATCATGACTTACTGTTGTCAATCGAGTCGCTTTAATTCATGTAAGATGCTGAAGGCTTATTTATCTGATTATTGTTTTCGTCAAGCTTTATAATGAAAGGTCGAATTAGTGTCATTCGTTTAACAATACAACTGACCTTTAAGGCAGCTTTAAAAAGTCGAATATATTATTTGTTTTCATGTGACATCGTATGTGGTTTTTTTGCCCTTTAGTTTGGCTGCAAACTTGCAATACACTGAAGAGAAATTCGAATTCCTTTGGTTTGCTCATAAACAGATAGCACTCGAAGTATGTTATCACATTATGTGAAGTGACCACATAAACTGTACCTTTGAAATAACTGTTTTGGACGTACCACTATCAATTCATGTCAGTATTTTTAGTGAATAAAACACACTATTATTTCATTTCAGTATATTTAGTGAAGAAAAACACACTATTATTTCATTTCAGTATATTTAGTGAAGAAAAACACACTATTATTTCATTTCAGTATATTTAGTGAAGAAAAACACACTATTATTTCTTTTTTGTATATTTAGTGAAGAATAACACACTATTATTTCATTTCAGTATATTTAGTGAAGAAAAACACACTATTATTTCATTTCAGTATATTTAGTGAAGAAAAACACACTATTATTTCATTTCAGTATATTTAGTGAAGAAAAACACACTATTATTTCTTTTTTGTATATTTAGTGAAGAATAACACACTATTATTTCATTTCAGTATATTTAGTGAAGAAAAACACACTATTACTTCATTTCAGTATATTTAGTGAAGAAAAACACACTATTATTTCTTTTTTGTATATTTAGTGAAGAATAACACACTATTATTTCATTTCAGTATATTTAGTGAAGAAAAACACACTATTACTTCATTTCAGTATATTTAGTGAAGAAAAACACACTATTATTTCATTTCAGTATATTTAGTGAAGAAAAACACACTATTATTGCATTTCAGTATATTTAGTGAAGAAAAACAAACTATTATTTCATTTCTGTATATTTAGTGAAGAAAAACACATTATTACTTCATTTCAGTATATTAAGTGAAGAAACACACACTTATTTCATTTCAGTATATTTAGTGAAGAATAACACAGAATTCTCAGCGTTTCATTCGTTGCGTGAGACGTTGCTGCTTCGTGGAATCTTCCTCACTACTTCCCCCATGTTGTTGGACTTATCCAAACCGTTTGCATCGGTATCTAAACGTAAGTCATTTTTATAAATCAATAGGATCGAAATTAGCTGGTGTATTGACACCTTATCAAGGTTGTCCTAAACAAATCTAAAAATACTACGTAATACAATTCACATCGTAAAAGCTAGCAAAAGCAATTCTTTTACTTATGTAAATGAGTGCAATATTTTCAGGAACTGTGTTAACACAAGTTACTAACAATCAATAACCTTTTGGGAAGATTGTGTAACCGTACGTACTGCCCTTAAACATTATTTGTTTGTATATGTACATTTGCATTTAAATCAGTAGTTAGTATATTGGTTTGCTTTGGATAGAAAACCATTGCCGTAAAAGTATTTTCAATTTTGAATAACGTTTTTGAGATGTTTTCTGTCACAGTGGGACGTGTAATTAAGACTTCTATCGATATATACCATTTAATGGTACTAAAAGTGTGGACATTGCCATTTCCAAAAACTTCATCAAGTCGATAGCACATTATGCGCTTCCAAGTAGTTGATCGAAACTGCTCTATGTCTACTTATAAAGTGTTCAGTCAAAAAGATGTCTCAAAATCGATACTTAATTCTAACATCTCAAACGCCCGTTCTCACTAATGCCCAGGTAATAACTTATATTAATTGTTCAAATACGCTTGGGGCTGTACAGAAGGTAATACGCTCCCTCGCGTTATGTCATTTATCTTCGGTAACTCTTGGCCGATATTATTTGGAAATACAATGCCATAATCGGACAAAATCATATTGGTACTTCCGCATGTCGAGGTCAACTGTATATAATCCCTAACTCTTTCAAGTTCAAAACGTCATTATTTTATTAGCAGCATGTTGTTAATTGTGATGTCTAAGTAGAGGGCATATACTTATACTTATACAAATGACCTTATCGTCACGAGAAAAGTATGACAACTGAATGCAGACTGATTGTAATTATGACAAAATGTATACCGTAGCTTTGAAACTACTGCAACGGTGCAAAATGTGATGGTAGACTGTCAAGGATGAATGTTTATGTTCGTCGTATATATTTTAGAAATATAAGAAATCGATTTTGAAACCATTGCATTGATCTTTCTTATTCCAAAGCGAAATGGGGAACATTTCTTCAGAACTGCTATAAATTAGAACATAAAATATTAATCGTTTCAACATGTTTCAACTCCGACAGTGAATGTAATTATAATATTTGCATTCATTACTCACATGTTATATCATTAGAAATGATGTAAAGTGGAAAATTATTCCACGCACGTTTATTCAAATATATAATTATGTCTGTGCTGCACGTCATTTTCTCATTTCTATAACAATACACCTAGCAAGACCGAGTTAAATCAATAGTGTTTCCACGGCGTTGATGTTAATACAGGGTCGATCTTCGGAAAATGAAAAATGCTGAACAGCTTGAAATTAGATATAAATGTATTGTTATTGCAGTTACCACGCAATTGGTCAGCCCGGACCTATTATTAATGTCATCCCAGGCATGTGGTTCCCTAGCAGCGGCGTCCTGGCTGGATGGTCTCAATCTTCCTCACATATGTTATCACGATGGCTCTGTGGACAAGACGAGCTTTCTTATCGACATGTTTACAAAGAAATGCCTTCAAAACTCTGGACCTGACACCTCATCAACGACACAATGTCTTGAGTCTTTGAAATTGCAGCCTGAGACAGACATGCTTCTAGGCTCTCTGGTGTCAAGCCTTAAGTGGTCCTTCATTACCATATTCTTTGAGGACAGAATGGGTACTACTTTTTATTAGATATTAACTGTTGATTATTTCATGGAATAAAATGATTTGTGTAAATAGATATGAATTAACCAAGAGTGCACTATTCCATTTCAAGATCTGAATACAACGAGGGCCATGACTCATTCATGTAGATTTGTTTGTTAAGTTAATTGAAACACAATTTTCCAATCACACTCAATGAGATAAATCTAGGTTAGATTTAAACTACTTCTGTATGACACTTTATTGCTTCTGGTTCCATATCCCTGAAGATAATTACACTAACGTACATACGGGTATCTACCTGTTTATGCATAAAATTATACAAAATTCTATCTTTCTAAACGGATACAACATTGAGTGTGATGTTTCACCTATATCGATCCGTCACATTAATCATCTAAACACACATCCTAATGGTTTTTTACGTGAATGAAAAATAATAAACCTAACACCAAACCGTAAATTCTGGACATGAAACAAACATAAGGGCCGACAACATTCACATACCTGATACATGTATATTCACCAGAGACCCATATTGCTTCCAAAATGTCTGAAACGTCGACAACATTTATATTTAGTGGATGGTTTGCTTGAGTTAATCTGTGTGATTTGATATATTTATAAGTTATTAGACTGAATGAAAAAACAATACTGGATACTCAATACCCAGCATTTTAAGGAAGGAAAGGTTAAACGTTCATTTTATCATCAGATTGTAATTTTGTAATAGGAAATCAATGTCCGTTATTTCCGGCGGTGTGAGCGTAAATATTACCTTCTGTGTCGTTTATGGGACACCATTGGAGATGTGAAACCACCACTGTCTTAGGTTAGTTGTCTGCTGAATGCATTATCGAATTCCTAAAGATTCTTGAGGGCCCTGTTTGAACAACAATATTTGACATATTCAAGTGACGATCTATACCAAGACAACAGTCAATTCTATTTCAGACAGAACAATTTCATAGATCCCATTCTACTCACTTGTTAAAGATAGCTTAACCTGTGGTATATCACCTTTAACTAGTTTTAAACGCTGCAAATGGCAAAATTTTCGTTTTTGTTCCTTTAAATATTTCACTGACACAATGTTTAATGTACGATTTATCACACTGTTTTCCTTCAGATGCAATCGTCAAATCAGTTTCGGCACAACTGTCGCAACTCAACGTTCAGTGCTTGATGTACAAGGTGAATGGCAATTACACAGATGAAGAGATTAATGATCTTATCAAGCGAGCAATTTCACTTCTCCCGGTATCTGAGAGGAACTTTTTTATTTTGTGTGATGGCACCTGCGGAAGGAGAGTTTTAGATCAGGTATTCGGTTTGCTGCCTGTATTCCATATTAACGTAGCGTGGTGATAGAAATAATGATCAAGTTCGGGTACAGCTTTTGGGTGGGATGCATTTTGTAATCCACGGAGTAATTTTGTAGCATCACATTTGTTACAACGTATCCCCATAGGAGCCTGATCGATCCAGCGTCTTGCAACAAGCATAAGTTGCTTGGGAACGCTAATCCTATTCTGGAAACGACACGGGGGTCAACCAGAGGACGATTGTCCATCCAGTTTTAATGGAACTGAATATATATTCGATAAGGTATATTTAAGTTGTCTTTAACTATGCTTATTGTACAAAACGTAAACTGTCGGGCAAAAGAAAGTATATGTACACATGTTTGATGGTGGCTAAACATGAAACAGACAAGAAATGGTTATTCGATGGTGATGTATTTGATAGTAATGTATCATAGGCGATGTTTAATGCATCATATCAATGACGTGCACATGACGTCTCAAGGAACATGAGGAACAACAGAGTGAAGCAGGTATTTTCTTTTGCTCGGCAGTTTATATCTTACTGAAAGTATATAGAAATATGCACCATAGTCTAACAAGTAACACATTTACTGGAGTTCAAATGCCCTTTTACTAAGCGTTCATCAGCAATCAATCTTAGCAAGCATATGTGTAAAATTCCGCAAATATGTGCTTGGCAGGCTGACAAAATGGACGACCGCGAGACAGCAATAAAAATGATGTCAGCGTGGTTGTTGTTGGTGTCAATGGAGGATTACGATGTCATAGAGGATGTTCACTATGAACTAGACAACGTAGCTGCACTTCTGCTACCATCGCTCATTCTTCCATACGGGACGGTAAAGGTAAGTATTTGCATGTATGATAATGTGATCCTATTATGAGATGTGTCCTCTGTGTCTGCTTGTAGAAGTCCGGACTACTGCCGGTTTTTAGTGCCAGCCCACTGAGATACCATGAAGCAGTTTCACGTGAATACCCCACTCAGACACACTACACTGTCGACGAGTCCTTGTGTTATCACCCCAATGCCGAGAGCTAGGCAGGGTAACAACAAGTACTATCTTTTAACGTCTTTTGGTATGATACGCTGTCCGCTAGACCCCGGAAGCAGTCGATCCTATTCTGAACATCTGAATCTATTACAAGATCTCCATTCCTCTGCTAATGCAAACGTAGACAATTGTTTGCTCACTGGGCTCTGCTTTGTTGAAACAGTCCGTGGATGGTGTACAAAGCTTTCTTCATTAGGGTTTTCTGGCTCATTCTGCTCAAGTTTCCAATCAAATATCGAGTGTCCAGTCTCAAAAACAGCCTCGTGTATTACGATACATAATGAACGATGTGCATCTTTAATATACAAGGCGTTTCCGAACCGGTGTCAGATCTGTGGCATCACCATTCATGTTTCTCTGTGTCGTTCCTCGACCGAACATTACAAATTTCGTATTAACAAGTATTAATGGCAAGTAACACATCTGCATCAGCATCAGCATCATCTACTACTACTACTACCACTACTACAACTACACTACTACTACTACTACTACTACTACTACTACTACTACTACTTCTACTGACGTGCAAAAGAGAAAACGTAAATATTTCTACCTGGGTTATCAGTTTAAATCGATACAGTGAAACAGGTGTTTATGAATGCTGGTTTTATCCACACTATTTCGTCTTCTTTTTAAACGAGATATTCCAGCGCATATTTGAGTATTTTTGTCATATTTCCTTATAATATAATTTTATAATTTTGGATAGTTCGAGATCCCTCAAATCAATATACTAGAAAATTACATACAATAGGAATCATTATTGTCCAATTAACACCCCTATGTGCTGATACACAAAAAGAAATAAAATTATATACTCAACAACATAAGATCCTGTGACACCAATATTTTAGTGTATTTTTCAAACAAGTAGAGTTTGGTTTTCTTTATTGTAGTACATGTATGGAATCAAGTCACAAAAACGCAACTGCTACAGAAAAGCATGCATTCCATGCAAAAGTTGATTTTTGTGCAAGCCCCATGCATTTCACTACCCAAGAACGGGTATAAAAACATGTGCGTTAACGGGATCCCATATGAATTGTTTAGCTTCGTGCTGACAACAACCAATCAGAAAAACAACAAAATTACGCAATTATTCAACATTACGAAATGCCACGCCTGTCCGAAAATGAGCGTCTGCGAGCCATTGGTATGCTTGAAGCAGGATCGAGTCAACGTGATGTTGCAAGACAATTTAACGTCCACAGAAACAACATTTGGTGTTTATGGCAACGTTGGCAACAAACGAATGCAGTCCGAGACCATCCTCGGAGTGGCAGGCCACGCGTAACCAATAATCGGCAAGACAACTGGATTCGAACAACACACCTAATTCATTCCAGCCAGCAACAGTGACTGCAAGAAGCATCCCTGGCCTTCGACGAATATCTTCACAAACCGTACGTCGCCACCTCAGATGTGCAAGGATTGTCGCCAGAAGACCCGCCAGACGTCCCATTTTGCAGGAAACCACCGTCAAGCACGTCTACAGTGGTGCAGACGGCCATGCAGTGGGGACAAGTTCTATTCACTGACGAGTCTCGTTTTCACCTCAGCCACAGCGATTGACGGATTCGAGTGTACCGACGTCGAGGTGAACGTTACGTCAATCATTGTGTCATGGAAGAAGATCGGTACGTGGGCGGCAGTGTTATGGTATGGGCCGGGATTACAGCAAGACAGAGGACCCGTTTGATAGTGGTAGAGGGAAATCTCAATGGACACCGCTACCGCGACGAGATCATCAGCCCTGTTGTTCTACCGTTTTTGCGTCGTCATGGCCCAGGTATTACCGTTTAACAATGACAACGCCCGGCCTCGTTCTTCAACAAAACAACGCGAATGTCATCCCCTGGTCGGCTCGCTCCCCTGATCTCTCACCAATCGAGCACATGTGGGATGAGATTGATCGACGCCTTCGACGTCAACCACGTGTTCCACAGACACTCCAGGAAACTTCGAAATATGCTCCAGCGGATATGGACAGATATCCCTCAGGACTTTGTGCGACGCCTGGTCCATTCCATGAGACGAAGATGTGTTGCCTGCATCGCAACCAGAGGTGGACACACACGCTATTGATTTGTAAATTGACATTTTGGCATTGTCATGTGTTTTTTATGAAAACACGCAACAAGTCAGTATGGCAAATTAAACCATTTGAACACTTACAGGAGTCTTTCATCTGTTGCAAACCGAAATTGTTTCAGATTTGGTAAAAAACATAACTTTTCATGAAATCTTATTCAATGTCACAGGAACTTTTGTTGTTCAGTATATGTTTATCACATTCCAGGTCCTTTTGCAAACTCCATCAAAGAATTCGCTTAACATACAGTTTGACTTAAATAACATACAACGTATATAACAAACTGATTCTTCGACCCCTTGAAGTTCGTTATATCCATGCTCTACTGAATTTTTATTTCACCAGCCGAGTGTCAACCGGACATGTATTGAACTTGCAGCAGATTGGAGGGTAACCTACTGCATGCGTGTGTTAGTTCTTGCTGTTGCACAAGTCATTGTATCAGTTAGTAAGTGAGTGATCATGAGTGTTTATGTTATTGTTTATAGTCGCAGTCAGCAATATAACAGCTATATGACGGCGCTCTGTAAATAATCGAGTCTGGACCAGACAATCCAGTGATTGACATCATGAGCAGCAACTGGAATACGATGGCATGCAACAACCAAGTCAGCGAGTCTGACCACCCGATCCCGTTAGACGCCTCATACGACAAGCATAGTCGCCTGTTACGGCAAGCATGGGTTGCTGAAGACCTATTCTACCCCGGATCTTCACGGGCCTCGTTTGTTGTTGTTGTTGTTGTGGTTGTTGTTGTTGTCGTTGCTTAACACAGCATGCAGTAGCTTAACACAGCATGCAGTAATAGCACAGCTATATGACGGCAGTCTGTAAATAATCGAGTCTGGACCAGACAACCCAGCGATTGACATCAAGATGATAGATCTACGCAATTGGGATACAATGACATGTAACAACCAAGTCAGGGAGTCTGACCACCCGATCTGATTGGTCGCCTCGTACAACATGGGCTGCTGAAGACCAATTCTACCCCGGATCGTCACGCGGATTGAACCTATATATGTCACAAACATTTCGCAATGTATATGAAAACTAAACGATGAAAATAAAATTAATAGTACTGAAGCTACAGTATAGCGGTTTGGATTGTCACGGAAAGTAAGCGGTGGTGGATGAAGTTTAGTTTAATGATGCCTGTATTATTATACAATTTAACAACATATTGTGTAATGTACTTCAGAAGTACGTATTTAAAAAACAACGAATTAGATATGTATTTCTGTTTTTCAAAACATAAAGTTATATCTACGTAAATAATCGCGTACCACTCTGTGTTGGAATACCATCGATCTAAAAGTGGATCATGTTTTTTGAATAACAATGTAATATTTATCAATACAGTTTTTTCGACTATACACGGTCATATTCAGAATGACAAAAGGGCATGTATATTAATTTATTGATTGAGGCACTTAAACAGCGTGACGTTATTAATGTATACATTTGTTCCAGCAAGCAACAAATAGCTGTTCTGACGGTCACCTGATAACCTTGCTGCATAAACCAACATTTCGGCAGTGGAGCCCTGTAGGTTATGTGAGCAAATCAGGACAAATGACAGTGCCTGATGTCATATTTCCGAACAAGCAGTTTGGTTTCAACAAGAGGAAACTTCAAGTAGTAACTATTCTTGTAGGTAGCGCAACAATCATAGGATAACAAATTTATTAGTAAAGACAAAGTTGAATTAGAAAGTGTGCTATCCAACTTGTTTGAAAATGTAATCACACATGTACGAAAACGTTGCATTGAAAAAACGACATGGAAACCAAAAGGTCACTATGTGTTCAATAATACTTCAGCTTCCAAAACGCAGCTTCAAAATAACTTCATTGAATGCAAACATATCATTTAATATCCGCGCATGTAAACTTCACACACATCAAGTCAATATGTTAGCCGTATAAAGCACAAACCTACGATTCATTTTATGTTAAATGTTTGTAGCTTTGCCGCAATACTTGCAACGAGTAACGCCTTTAGAGTGTTCATAGTTGGGTTTGGAATGTACATGTCAGTGTATGGTTTCAGCTGTATCCGTTTGCTATGAAGAACAGCACACTTGGGAAGGACATTTACACAGGAATTTGTCTGGATCTTCTTCAGGAGTTGGCGTCAACATTTAATTTCACGTAAGTAGGATAACTGATCATAGGTTGTCACCACACATATGTAGAACAGGTCCAAAGTACCTCTTGAAAGCCGACCGTTGAGGATTCCGTAGTTACCATATGCCACAATGATGTTTGTTTTGCTTGTTTGTTGCTTTTAGCCCCGCTCTCAGCAATATTCCAGCTATATGACGGCGGTCAGTAAATAATCGAATCTGGACTGGACAATCCAGTGATTGACATCATGAGCATCGATCCATTCAGTTGGGATCGATGACATGCATCAACCAAGTCAGCGAGCCTGACCACCCGATCCCGTTAGTCACCTCTTACGACAAGCATAGTCGCCACAACGATGTGGTGATTGTGTATCATCGTGACCCGACGCCATGGATCGTTCTTAACCACTAGTTTATGAAGACCTTTTTCGTTAATTTACAGGCCACTGTGGGATTGCTAGATTGGTCATTGCAGCGATAATGTATCCCTTATTCACTTTTTGAGTACATGAACAAGTTTAAATATTGGATGCTGAACATGCTTTTTCACAGCCGATGATGAACTTCACTTTTATATATCGTCATACTTAACTTACTATCTTATGTATAGTTCATATTCAGTAATCCAAAAATTTAATTTAATTTAATTCTTGTTTCACGCCACATTCAGCAATATTCCAGCTATATAGCGGCGGTCAGTAAATAAACGAGTCTGGATCAGACAATCCAGTGATTGACATCATGAGCATCGATCCACGCAAGTGGGATACGATGACATGTATCAACCAAGTCTGCGAAACTGACCACCCGATCCCGTTAGTCGCCTCTTTCGATAAGCATAGTCGCCTTTTGAGTCAAGCATGGTTTGCTGAAGACCTATTCTATCTCTATCTTCTGTCTTCACGGGTCCAGTAATACAATACATATATATGCAAGGGTAATAGGTAACTACAAAGCAATCAAACCATTAAATGTAAAACGTCAACGTCAGGGAATGACCCGCTCGATTATACAAAGAAACAGATTCCAGCAAAATAGCGGTGAAAAGTATATCGGTGGATTACTGAAAATGACTCATGACACCAAGGGTTCGGGAAAAGGGAAAGTATGTCCTGCCCTACCGGTAATGCAATTTCGTGAAAACTTATGTGTTTGTTGCCTGACACCGCACAGCAGTACTCCTGCCATGCGACGGCGACACATCAACAAACCAGACAATCACATGATAGAACATTAACTTATATTGTTGAAAGCGAGTGTGGAAGCAACAATTATGTTAGTTTTCTATTACACAGATATGAAGTACTAGAACCACCCGACGGCGAGTATGGAAGAATACTTAATGGTTCCTGGACGGGTGTAGTCGGAATGTTGGAAAGACGGGTGAGATAAAAAACAATTCAAATAATTTCTTGTCAACGTCATTTAAAGAATAAGATGTAAGTGTGCTATAGGAACATATCTACTACAATACACTATCTATACAGGAACGTATTTGGTAGCTTGTTCTTTCACTAATACTATTTGGCCCATTTTACAATCCCTGATGTGTCGTTTAGCACCACCCTGTGCTCTGGGGTATAGGTATTCATTCATTTGTCGCTTCACAATCAATTAAACTGACGTTGAAAACGGCACTTAACCAAAATCACCCATAATATATATCCATTTTCCTTCATTTCCTAACGCCTTCAGTTTTTAAATCTTAGTTAATTAATATTGCCCTAATTATATATTTATTTCATTCCTAAGATATACATTTGAAGATATACATTTTGATATATATTTATCATGATCAGGAGGTCGACATGGCTGTGGCCGCACTAACAGTGACGCAAGAACGTGAGAAGGTCATGGACTTCGTCTACCCCTACTACTATGACGCTGGGGGCGCTCTCTATAAACTACCTGATGAAATGTCCACGAAATGGCTAACGCTGATCAAACCATTTAAGTGGGAAGTGTTTCTGTGTTTAGGAATTGTCTTCGTCAGTATGACTTTCTTTCTTTGTGGAATGGAATTCTTAAACATTCGTAAAAAGAAACTGTCTATCAGCATGGCGGAAGTTTTGAGCAGTAGTATGTGGCATATATCCGGCACCTTTTTCAAACACGGTACGTATTTATCTCTTTTAGGATACACATGACATCATATATGAATATAGAGGTGAATGTATATAAAATACAGTGACATTTCGTTATTTCGGCACGCTGACCCGAAGGTAATGCTAATGTTAGTTTGGCCACCCATGCCATAAAACAGGCATTAGGTAATGTGGACCTTCCTTCCCCGAACATTGTCTTGCATATTATGTAATCGTAACAGCATAGTCGGGAATAAAGAGGCTTATGTGGTTTTGGAACGTTTTGTTGATTTCAAAGTAACTGAAGAATGAGAGGTAAAAACAAATCGCCAAACCATTACATGTAAGACTTATTTAATACTAAACACATCTAATGATTGTTTCAAACAGCATGTGGCATTTACTGTTTAGGTAGCCATAGCCTTCCTAAATCCCAACCAGGGCGCATCCTCATCAGTTTTGTATGGTTATTCTGCATCATCGTGGTGGCTGCGTACAGTGGGAACCTCATCGCTTTCCTTACCGTGTCCAAAAACTACCCTCCCTTTAAAACACTGGCGGAAGTTACTGAACAGACTGACTACACCTGGGGAACTGATGGCGGGAGCATGTGGACTACTCTCTTTCAGGTATACGAAATATCAGTCATCTACACACTATTATTTGAATAACCGGATTATTATTGGTATATATATATATGTATGTATGTATGTGTGTATATATATATATATATATATATATATATATATATATATATATATATAGTGCGTGAGTCATCATTTTACATCGCTTCTGCAATATTCAGCAATATAGCGATGAATACAAGGCATTCATTTAAACATTTGTGTCAACAAAAGACAGTAAAACAGTCCGATTAAGTCTTATCATGAATACCAGGCTATAGACTACCAATAACCAAAGTTAGACCACCTTACTCGGGACTTGCAGTACCTGTATCATTGCCCAGGAGGATTTATGCCATCACTTTGGTCACCGGTGGCTGTAAATTATTCTAGCCTATATTAAACAAAGACACAAGACACCCAACATTCTAAAACGCTTGTCATCATTATGTACGTTGATCAAGAATGGACCTAGGTGCCACTGTCAGGACAATACCGTCGAAATATATGTTTGTTTCATTGGTGTACCGATCATTATACGGTTAAAGGCAATGGTCTTATCTTCCATCAGTTGTTTACGCGGTAATCGTCAACACAAATTGAAGGCTGTCCTGAAAACCGCCTCTATTTCAAATCGGCAGTGCCAATGACAAATCCACCATACAGCGCAAACGCAAAATGGGTTGAAATGACATTCATTTTTTTCAGACATCCAACAGAAGTGATTACAAGAAAATATGGAAAGGAATAGTGAACCAAAACAGAAGTAATTCTGACGTTCTCAGTCTGAATCAAGGTCTTCATAGGAGCCACGTTGAGGCTGGATCCTATATCTTCATGTTCGACCGGGACGTGATAGACATATGGTCCCTTGACAACTGTGACTTGATATTACTTGAAGAAACATTCTACCAGATAACGTATGCCGTAGGGCTGCCTCAGAATTCTCCCTATGGAAGAATGGTATCGGAAAAGTGAGTTTCAGTTCCGTCACTCCGTTCAAAAAATCAACATGCCCATTGTAACTTCTTTGAGAGGCATTTAGAAGTTGGAGTACTTAGTAAGGATATGATTTATGGATAAACAACTTCTTTATTACAATTAGGAGCGACGTTTCGGTGTAGGTTCTAACACCGTTATCAAGCAAGTGATGTACAGAGGATGGTTGATTCAACTCATCAAAGACCCCAATCAGTCATAATCCTTTTGTTTATATTACTGGCTTCACCCTTTTTTATATTACTGACTTCGCCGGTCAATATGTTGAAAAACCATTTTTGTGTACATAACAGGCTTCTCCACTCCAGTGTAACTACATCTGATATCTACTCTACTGTATTAACACTGACTCCTAGCTGCATATATACTTTTCAACCATACTCTGTACATCAGGCTTGATAACGGTGTTAGAACCTACAACGATACGTCCCTTATCATTGTAATAAAGAAGTTTTTAATTCATAAATCTTATCCTTACTTATGCTCATTGTAGTAACATTCTACCATTTACATTAGAATTCTATATAGAAAAATCAGCTAAGTGAGGTTCTGTTCCGTTATGCAGTTTGAACATTAATATGACCAGACAGTCCAAATTTGTATTAAAGTTTTTGTCAATACAAACATTACACTTAACATTCACTTCTGACATATTGGAAGTAAAATGCCATTGACAACAAAAATGACATAAAAATATTTCATCTTTCAGGATGTTGAAAATTGAACAAAGCGGGTTACTCCAGATATGGAGAAGTAGGTGGTGGCCGAAGGGGAGCGGATGTGCTGGCCAGACGCAAGTACAGGCCAAAGTAATAGCACTTATTGACTTACAGAGCGCATTCTACTTTTTGGGAGTTGGCCTTAGTACAGCTCTTCTAGTGTTGATGGGAGAGCGTTTACGACATTGCTGCAAAAAGCGAAGTATGTAACTAGTGCCTTCGTGATTTTGGTGCGAAATCCAGTAATTAGGGCTGGAATACTTATTAATGATTGCTTGTTAACAATTAATGTTGTGTTTACTTGTATATGGGGGTATATCATCTTGGTACTTAGTGTTGGTGAATACTGGTGTTCCATGATTGAGACACCAATGGTCAATTTGTGAGATTGTTAAAATCGTTTGCCTGGTGTTATTTGAGCTTCTGCTACACATAATGGCGTTTGTGAAAGATAAAATATTGGATAAGAACTGATATACTGTGTCACATTTTTATCTTATGTGACGACAACGACATGTTGTACAGGTTGCTATGTTTTATTGTGCTATGTGTGCTCAATCATGATCTAGTAACAAATAACAGGATTAATGAATCGGGTCCTGATCTACTGGATTTCCATGTGTTCTGTTCCATGTTTTGTTATATATGCTTTTATGTCTTGCCTAAGTCATTAGTTACTCTCCCCGTTGAAATGGAGTATATGAGTGAGTGAGTGACTGACTGGTTTGATGCCAGCTGAACATTATATCAGGGTCAGCTTGCATGAAAGTAACGAATGTTGTAAATGTCTACGAACAATGTGTGGATCATTATCAGTGAGTATTGTGGAACCAACGATCATCGGACCCTTGGATGAACATGGAACATGCGAGGCACATTGGTTAAACCACTGGATCACCCGTCACTACTGAAATAGTTGATAAATGAATACACACTTCACTTTACAAACAACAAGCTGAAAGTGTATATTGCACGTGTAAGGTTGATTCGTGTACTGGTATATGGCTAATCCAGGGTTGAACGTGGCAATGACAATCCAATGAAGAATATACATACACACTAGGAAACGTAAGTCAATGACCATCATGTGTAAAGCTGCTTTTACCATACATAAGACAAATTGGAGGCAAAATACTTCATTCTTTTTTATTCAATTTTCTTAGATACGTTCGACAGTTGACATACGATCAATGAATTGGTGATTGTTAACGAACTATTAAACTATTTACTAAAAATGATTTCACCATTGATCAGATTGGCGGTAATGAGGATCCCAGACTGCACCTTCTGTTGTATAAACAATTCGGAGAAATCATATATTTACCTGTGCTTGAAAACCAACCAGGTGACCTTCATGAGATTTGCCCACCTGTCTGATCAATAATCCCCATATTCCCAGCACACATATTGGTCAATAAGAAGACAAAACTGATTTCCTAATAAAATAAATCATAATAGAGAATAACTTTACCTCGGCTGGGCTGTGAGTTTTTGTGATAATAGAAAGATATGACGGAAAGTATATTGTAATTTCTGTAACGTTTGCAAGACAATATAGAAGATGGCATAGCAAACGGTAATGTAAGAGATGTGTGAATGGAAGTCCTACAGTTTCTAATCAAATCCTTTCATACAATTATTCTCCTGAAAAACGGTGTGACATACCTATGTAACATTGATTAGTCATAGTATTGTTTGGACATCATTAGTATAACATGAAATCTCCTCAGCTCAGAAGCATGTCGAGTTATCCTAAGTTCGGAACACCCAAAGTGCCTATTCGAGATCATAAGCTTAAAACCTCGTCTTTTACGATATGTCAAGTTTAAGTGTCAAGTGTTCGAGTTAAATAGGTTTCACTGTACGTTATGCTAATTGAATATGCGCATCCTATAAAATTTAATACTTGTGACCCACCAGGAGAAATTGGACAATTTGGGTGCAAGGACACAAAAATTGTGCTATGACGTCGTGAAGATGTTTGACGTCAACTTACTACAACCAATATATAGATTGAAGCTTGTGAATTGTATTTTTGTGTTAGGAAGATGCTGTAGTTATAAAGAAAAGCCAAAATGTGATTTTATCACCCATAAGGTGCCTCGTCTCACGGTTGGTCACAAATATAGATGTATTCTGAAATTAAATAAGCACCTTTCATAAAACATATTCATGAAGACACCTCCTCATCTTTAAGGTCATGATACACAATTTGCACGTGGATGTTAATGCACAGCACACAATTTGGATGTTAGCGAGTTTTTGAATGTGAACAGCACCATAATAATTGTTAAGTAATCAGGTGCTCATGACAACACTTTTGTTTAACCGTACATAATTAGTTGAATGCTGAAAGTATTAATCATTTTAATGTCTTTAGGTCATGTCTTTCTATCTTGGGCATAGGACCCGTGAAGATCCGGGGTAGAATAGGTGTTCAGCAACCCATGCTTGCCGTAAAAGGCGACTATGCTTGTCGTAAAAGGCGACTAACGGGATCGGGTGGTCAGGCTCGCTGACTTGGTTGATGCATGTCATCGATCCCAAATGCGCGGATCGATGCTCATGGTATTAATCACTGGATTGTCTGGTCCAGACTCGATTATTTACAGACCGCCGTCATATTGCTGGAATATTGCTGAGTGCGGCGTAAAACAACAAACCAACCAACCAACTATCTTGGGCATAGAATATATCAGTCACTCCTTATATATGTGAGTGAATGAGTTGGGCTCAACGCCGCTTTTGATCAGTATTCCTGTTATATCCAGTTAATTAATGTGGGAGGAAAGCCCGAAGTGATGCAGTGCTCAGACGCCTACAACTTTGGTGAATCCCACCAGCACGGGTATCTTGTTGACAGACCTAGAACCATAATGGGCGCGAGCCGGAATTCGAACCCTCGATCAAAGTTTCTGGCATGCCCAAAAGAGACACAACTCTGAACGTTGAGTTGCGGCGCCTTAGACGACTGGACCACCCATGTCCCCACATATGTATGAGAAAAATGCCGCATCAGCAATTTTGCACCTATTCGCGGCGAGAAATGTCTTTAGTTATACTGTATATTAACAAACACTATCAAAGTGATGTTGAACATCACGAATATCTCAGTCAACTACTGGTATCACATTTAAAAGGTAAAAAAACTGAATGATCAAATTACGACCTATATTTAATCATATGTCTTTAACGGATCTATTCAACATTATAATAATATTGTCAACAATGACTCTTTTTACCTACCAACATATTACTGACATCTACAAGACCAACTGATATCATATCAGTCTAAATTGTTTGCTAACTGCTTGACAGATTGGAACATTGCCAGATGTGTGTATCGGATAACCACTAATGACATTCATGGATATTAATAACCCATAGCCTTAGAAGGGAGAACACAGTATGTACATATTCATATAATCAATTGAACAATATATGCCGCTATTGCCGAGGAAAATGTCTTCCTTTGATTCAGATTCGATTGTCAATAACCGAGTCTGTGTGGGGGTCAGTAGTCAATGTGTGAATTATTTATGTAATTTGGAACACGGGCAACGTTGTTGATACCTGATCGCTCGTCCAATATGTTTCAGTATTGTTTGAGTACCGGGAACAGGGTTGATTTATAATAGGCAGTCTTTGAAACTCAAACATTCACTCACGCCTGTCTTGTGTTAGAACTGTGAATCTGTGAATATGGTATAAGATTCAACAAAAGCGTCTGTAGGAAACGTCCATATAATATCAGACTTCTTTGCAAATTCTAAAATCTATAATTGTGGGTTCAAATCCGAGGTAACCCCGATAATATTTCGAGATTTGTCTGCGTCATACCCGTTTTCGTGGGTTTCAACAAAGTGGTAAACGTCTAATTGAGTTAGTGAGTATAGCTTTATGCCGCTTTGAGCAATATTCAAGCAATATCACCAGAAATGGGCTTAACACATTGTACCCATGTCAGGAATGGAACCCAGGTCTTCGGTGTGACGAGCGAACGCTTTAACCACTAGGCTACTCGACCGCCCCGTAAACGTCTAAGAATTCATTCACTTCGAGCTTTTCTCCCACTTAAAGCTGACACGCCGTGATATAACTGGAAAATTGTTCAAAGCTGTGTTGAAGCTGTGTTGAACCCAACTCAATTAAGAGCGATCCCTTATTTACCATTTAAGATGCTAATGTCTCGGGATTACTGGCTGTAAAACTTTCGCCTCATCTAAATCCCTCAATGTAATTTCTGCCAGCATCAGGAGGAATCCATCATAGCACTGGACTCACTATTATCACCAGTTCACCTGACTATCGCATTACACACAACACTCTGGCGGCAGTCGGGAACGCATATAAATGGTCCTTGGTATATAATTAATATAATATAATTGTGCTACTGATATCTATTAACCATATATGTTTTTTCTCGACCGTCATGTTGATTGTTTGTAAGTCTATTTGGTTCTTGTTTAAATGAAATCCGGCATCTCTGACCATATCCAAGCCCATCAAGACCCCAGCATCCATTGGAACAATATCAACGTACTCACCAGAAATGATGCAAACTACTAAGATGAGGAAACATAGAATCCTTCCACATCAAAAGACTCCAATCAGCCATCAATAAAGATCAGGGTTATTACTTCCAAAGACCTACAATGAGCTCATCACTAAACAATCTTAATCTCATTTCCGTTTTCATTATGCCTATATATATCCCTCTCTTATACTGGCTTCCAATCAACTTGTCCATATCAGTCACGGTATTGTTTTACTCATCCTATTTATGTACATCATTCTGGCTTTTTACTTTAACCTTTTCTGTTATGTAAATATTATCTTGTATAAACATCAATTATCCATATGTATATAACCTCCCTATTTCACATTTATGTTCAATTCTTGTCAGATAACGCTGTATCTTTTCCGAAATGTCGCAGTCATTGTAATAAAGAAGTTGCATTTCAATAGAACTACATCCCTTGTTCAACCAAAGAAAGTGGTGAGGTGTGGTGAAATGGGGCTTAATGTCGCGTCCAAGATTATTGCACTAAAATAGCGATGTGTGTGTGTGTGTGTGTGTGTGTGTGTGTGTGTGTGTGTGTGTGTGCTAGTCCGGACTGATGCCTATTTATAGTCCTTGCCCGCTGAGATACCATGCCGCAGTTTAAGATGAATACCCCACTCAGAGACCGTATACTGACTTCGAGCCGACCAGTCCATGTTTTAGCACCTTAATGCCGAGCGCCAGACAGGGTAACAATAACTACCATATTTTAACGTATTTTGGCATGACGCGGCCGGGGACCAAAGGAAGATCACCATACTAGGGAGCAAAGAGACTTACGGTAACTCTGCTACCTACATGATCCCCAAGCAGGACTTACATCTTCCCTTCAGTCGCTGGCGATAGTTTTAGCTACAAAATCAAAATGACAAATATATACGACGACATGCATTTAAATACTTACAATACCCTCTCAGGGGAACAATGTTTTTAACACATTTACACCCACTAACAATCTCAGTTACTAATTTGTTCTACCAATTGTAAAACGTTATTTATTAATATGTTTACAAAACATATCAAACAAACTGCATCAAAAATTCAATTTCCTTCAAAACAACAGTAATTAAAAAGATCCTTTGTGGCTGACACTTTGAGATTGTTCTCCTTATAACCGCACAGAGGGTAAAACCAACACTTGACAGTGGACATTATTTATACAGACATTTATGTGTGAGCTTGAACAAGGCTACTCATTTACAATCGACGTCCTTTCCGTCAGCAGTTACCGCCATGTATATCGTACTTTATTAAGAACAATAATCATACTTTACTTTAAGAGCTAATGAACTAATCTCATTGTAGACATGTGGAGAAGTTTTATACATGTGGGGTATCAGTGACCAACCTAATGTCTGATGCATTTCCCTTTTTTAATTATATGTTCCTTTGTGTGCATGTGCTTGAAACGGGTGCAACCGGTGGGACAAGGCGCATTCACCATTTCGCGAACACCTAGTATCAACATAGTGATTTATACACGCATGCTTTCTTAGATTCTAAAGATTCAGAGTGACACAACACTCTCCTCAAGACAGTATGATAATAGGGATGACTTCTACTTTTCAATAGTCAACTTTCCCTTCCCTTCATTTTGACTTGTCTTCGTATGTGTTTGCGACGGGTGTCAATGGTGGGGCACGATACGCTCACCTTTCGCGAACACCTGGTAGCGTTGATATTTGATAGTGATTCATAAGCACATGCTCATGATATAGTCGGAATCGTACAATCGACTCTGCTTTATGCAGAGATTTCTATTGGATAAGGAAAGGGTTGTGTCGCTGTTTTTTGTCCAAAATGATTAATAAGTTGTGTATATAAGTAAATAAATAAGTTTACAGTGAACGTATACAACTGTTTATTCATGAAAGCGGTACTCATTCAATTGCAACTATTTCACAATACACATTCCAATAAAATGTTTGTTGTCTTGCTACCACATTACTAAATACAGGCGTGGTTCAACTATCTCAGCGTAATCGTTTCCAGCTAACAATATGCATGAAGTAGAAGAACACTTTGTGGTAGACACAGAAGATGGAGAGGACACGATTATATCCTGGATTCCCCAATAACATGGCAGTGCAATATTGATGGTATACAAGTGCTAAATCGCAAAAAATCCCCAGGTTTGGATTGTGTAATATCAGAATTCTTCAAAGGTACACATGAAGAACTATATATCTGCACGAAGACAGATCATTGTGGATTATTATTCCACTACACAAACAAGGTGCAACAAACAACATCAGAACATCTTTCTCTTGCGTATATTTAGTAAAATATACATTTCTATTACCAACAAAGGTCGGTATTTCGAAAATATTTTGGAGTCTCAATAGGATCTGTCTACAGTATGGAACATGTTTTATCATATAGTCATAAGTTTATAGGAAACAAAGGGGGATAAATTCCATGCAACTTTTCTAAAGCTGTTGATAGGAACACAATATTGTCATTATTAATATCAAATGATTCGAGTTGTAACTGGGTGAAATGTCAAGTGACATTGTTACTTTGTAAAAACATGCATTCGAAACTATGACATTATGTCCGACACGTTTTCCTGTAAATCTGGTGTACAAGGATTTATTTTAGGTTACTACATTGCTTCATTAATGGATTAGCTATGCAGATACAGAATTGTGTAAACAGCATCCAGTTATTTAATCCTGGTTTTTGTGAGGATGTCTTTATGGTGTCAAGTACAATAACTTGACGAACCAGATAATATACTGTGAACACTACTCATTCGAAAGATTTTTAAATAAAATATACTCAACAACAAAAGTTCCTGTGACACCAATATTTTAGTGTATTTTTCAAACAAGTAAAGTTCGGTTTCAATATTGTAGTACATGTATGGAATCAACTCACAAAAACGCAACTGCTACAGAAAAGCATGCATTCCATACAAAAGTTTACTTTTATGCAAGCCCCATGCATTTCACTACCCAGTAATGGGCATAAAAACATGTGCGTCAACGGGATTCCATATGCATTGTTCAGCATCGTGCTGACAACAACCACTCAGAAAAACAACAAAATTACGCAATTATTCAACACTACGAAATGCCACGCCTGTCCGAAAATGAGCGTCTGCGAGTCATTGGTATGCTTGAAGCAGGATCGAGTCAACGTGATGTTGCAAGACAATTTAACGTCCACAGAAACAACATTTGGTGTTTATGGCAACGTTGGCAACATACGAATGCGGTCAGAGACCATCCTCGGAGTGGCAGGCCTCGCGTAACCAATAATCGACAAGACAACTGAATTCGAACAACACAACTACAAAATCGATTCCAGCCAGCAACAGTGACTGCAAGAAGTATCCCTGGCCTTCGACGAATATCTTCACAAACCGTACGTCGTCGCCTCAGATGTGCAGGGATTGTCGCCAGAAGACCCACCAGACGTCCCATTTTGACAGGAAACCACCGTCAGGCACGTCTACAGTGGCAGCGTTATGGTATGGGGTCGGATTACAGCAAGACAGAGGACCCGTTTGATAGTGGTAGAGGGAAATCGCAATGGACAGCGCTCACGCGACGAGATCATCAGCCCTGTTGTTCCTGTTTGGCATATTCATGGGTTTTGTTTATGAAATCACGCATTTTCTGAAGTCAGTATGTCAAATTAAACCATTTGAACACTTACAGGAGTCTTTAATCTGTTGCAAACCGAAATAGTTTCCGATTTGGTAAAGAAACATAACTCTGCATTAAATCTTATTCAGTATGTAAACAAACTATCAGGGAAGGAGAAATGGATGTACCAAGGATACCAAATAGAGGTGGTCACATACTGATATATACCTGAAGGAGGTATTTCAAAAATCGTTTAAATTGCGCTGCACATGTAACCAAAGCGTCGTCATCTGCTTAGTTCCTTTTGGTAGGATGGAGAACCTGACTCCTATCAAGGATATATTCCATGGAACATTTTTCGGAATAGCGCTGTGGAATTGGTTCATTTATAAGCATGTCAATGATTTCTTGGGGTAAGACCAAATGCTGCAAGCGTTATGGTATATGTGATGAAAGTTCAAATAATAGAAGACGAATATAGTTCCCTTCTCATTTGCTTCAAATACGATACTACCCGTCGTAAATGTATCAAGCTATACTTCATGACCAAATATGCAAATACATTACATTAACGTCTTCAGACAAATTCTTTTTCTACGCAAGTGATCTACATGTATGTGTGTCAATCATGCAATGTTAGACAGAACAGATCACTCATAAAGTATGTAAATCATGTATTTTAACTACCTCCATTGAAATGTTTTGCCCATGGCCATTCAGTGAAAGCAAATAAGTTATTGTGGGCCTAACGATGACAGTCTATTCATTTATAAGAGAAAGTATATTCAGTTAACTCCGGTTTATCTGCACGGTTCCGTAAACAGTGAAAAAGCCCGGATTAACAACTTTCCAAATCATTCGTAAGCATTAACTTCCCTTTAATTGCATGCCGGCGTTCCAAACATGAACAATCTAAACAAACGTTAAAATAGAGTGTAAGGATTGAAATATTTTATAGCCGGATGCCATCTGGAGCCCCAGAAAATACATTTCCAGCATTTCCAGCTACACATTTAACTTGGCGTTTTTGGGGACATAATATGTTGCGAGTTTCTCGATTCCTAAGGCTAAGACAGCCAGGAAAATACCGATTGCAATCAGATAAAATGCACTCTGTATGTCCATAAGTGCTATAGCTCGAGCACTGGCTTTGCCCTCTTCAAGACATAAATTCTCTTGTGGCCACCATTTTCTTCTCCAGTTAATGAACAGTCCGCTCTGGTCAATTTTCAACATCCTGAATAAAACAAGCAAAGTTTAAATGAGATGGCGTCAGTACTTTTTCGAATCTCGAACGTCATCACATTTCGGGTTCATTGTGCCAAGAAATAGGTGTTCTTGAATTTGTATATTATAACATATTCCGGATCTTGTTCAGGTGAATACTTGACTTGACTTGGCATGTGTTTATGACGTGTGTCATCGCTGGGGCAGAACACCGTTACGAACAAATGGTAGCAGCACATGAGTATTACATAGTCGGGTTATTGCAGTGGCCTCTTTGATTTTTTTTATTACTCTGCAAATGGTTTTATCGTTGTTATGTCCATATTCATATATAAATGTAAACACAAACAAGAGTGATAACAAGATTATAAAAAAATACCCTAGCCCGCACGTGTATGTGCAGTGTTCCAGAATTGATACAACAGCTCGCCGTTTAACAAAATACGAACATATACAATCGCACCGATGAGATCGCTTTGTGGAACGGGAATCGAAATGTTCACATTATTTTTGAGAGATGACATTCTGTCGATCATTCTTTATGCATTTGATGAACCCCTTCTTGGAATGAAGATGTTAAACAATGTTATCCTTCCTTGTGAGCTTCACAAAATATCTCCCCACACAACCATGTGATGTCTGCGAAAATTATTTTATCCCTCTAGCCGAGGGTCAATTGAGCAGGAGTTAATTTTGAAGACCGTTCGATCTTTATCTATTTTCTATATAAATTGTTTTGGTCCTTTTATGGAAATTTCATATTTTCATATTCACGAAACCATCTGTTATGATACATAAAAGTTACTGATATATTTACATATATGTGGGAAAGGGGGCATTTATGGCCTAGTGGTATCGCTGTACAATGTTGCGCCCCTTAGATATGCTGGAATCGAAGATTTTTCCTTATAATAATTGTTCGTTTGTCAGTCACATAGCCGTTCTCATTGGTTTCAGCAAACAGTAAACGTCATCGATCTCAAGTCGAACATCTTTCACTCTTGATATAACCGAAATACTGTTCAGAGCAGCTTTAAACCAATCTCACTCACAAATTCATAAAAGTTATAACTACAGATAGCAACATACACGTTAGAAAAAATATCCGCATAAGGTGATTCTTTGGGAAGTCCAAGAGCATACGTGAAGGGAAGAAATGTTTCCTTGGTGAATGCCAAGTCGCAATGCTGTGACTTCCATGGAGTCAAAGCTTCATTGTCGTTGAAGAAAACATAGGATCCTTCCAGTACCTTCTTCATGTGGACATCCGCAGATTGAGACAGAACATCATTATCATAACCCTGGAATCCTTGTATCCCTTGCCAGATCTTTCTGTTCGATTCACTCGGGTCATTCTAAGTTAATATAACACATGGTCAAACAAATCACACACACACACACACACACACACACACACACACACACACACACACACACACACACATACATACATACATGGTCAAACAGAATACACTTTATATATATATAAACTAATAACTAATATATGACAGAGAACGTGCCAAGTATGTTGGGTCTTATTTACACAAAACATTAACTTTACAAACCTAAATCTAGTTCCTACAGTTTTTACTTAAAAGAAACTAATTTTTCAGAAATAGACAAACTTATGCATAATGCGGCCAAGTGTTTAAACACTTACTTCAAAGTATGTAACATAGGAACTGCCTCCCACGGTGCCCCAGCTGTAATCAGTCTGCGATGCTATATCTGCTATGTTGTCGAATGGCAGTATCTCTTTGTTCACAGTGAGGGAGGCAATGAGAGTCCCACTGTAAGAAGCAGCGATTACAATGCAGAACAACCACCAAAACCCAACCAGAATACGCCCGGACTCAGATTTGGGTTGCTCGCTGCCACCTGAAACATTTGTACGCATTAACAGAGATGGAACCCAATGATGTATGCACTGGTTGTGTGAGTGAGTGAGTTAATGTTTCACATCGCATTGGCGATACAATAGTAATAATCATGATATGTAAATTTAGAACGTCAATGGGAATGATGTTATGTTGCGTAAACCCTTGAAAGAGTAATTTCTTTTAGTATTCATGAAACGTGATTTGAAAGTTGAATGTGAAAAAGTAAACATTGTAAAAAAGCCTGGAATATGAACACGTTTTCCTCATTTGTGGAAGTAGGAGTCGTACATGCTGTGTACGAACATGATTACCCATTACATGGAAATTGTTATCCCAGGCGATATGTATGGCCTTACCATGTGATAACATAGCGCCATACAGGTACCAGAGGCTCTCCTGGAAGTATTTGTTTCCTGTTGATGTGGTGCTATTACTTTTCAAGGAAGACCCAACCATTTCCATAACACACAACAAGGCTGCAACAGCAACCAAGGAAATTGCTAAGCACACGAGAACCGTGCCTTTAAACGGTCTTATCAACTTCAACCACTTTGTTCCATTCGGGTCTGGAAGTTTGTAGATGCCCACAGCATGGTCATAGTAAAAAGGGAATGTGAAGTCCATCACTGTTTCTCGTTCCACTGTAACGGTCAATGGTCCTACCGCCAGATCAAGTTCCTGAAAGATAAAGGTAGGTGTCAGCATTGCGTTGACAAGAATCGCGTTAATTTTTAAAATTGTTCGGATTCGGTTTATTCATTTCATGTGTGTGACACTATCTATGACATGTTTGTGAAATTACAAGCAAAGTGTATATTGAGATGTATGTTACAGATTATGAAAATGAGAGATCTCAATGGTGTGAGATTTATCCATTGGGCACTCATTCCTCTCGAAATAATTATATGAAATGATCACACATCTATATGATATGATATAGAATTACTCTCTTCTCAAGTCCGAGAATGAGCCCTGTCCATGATCCATTTAGAACCCGTCCGAATTCTTTGTCCGCCGGAATAGTGGCAGTGTAACTGCAATTATATAGGATAATAACGAATCATATTTGTTACAATCGTGCAACTGTTCGATCACGAGAGGATAAAAAAAATAAGGACAACATACACCCTAACAAGCGTAATGTACTACCATAGATTGCATTTCCTAATAAACTTGATCGAGAGTGTTCCATGCTTCCCCACTATAGTCAGTCAACTATACGTTTGGCATACGGTCTCTGTATGAATTTAATCACATGGACAAATATGTTTGAAATTTAGTTGGTCACAAGACACCTCCCAAGAAATGCCACTTTTGAAAGTTTACATCAAGTAATAAAAGAACCATAAAAGGAGGAGTAGGTATTTGTGATGCTGACACCGTATTCCGTATGTTTGTCTGGGACGGATGCGATTATTATATGTCTTCGTCCTGTGCGACATAAAACAACATTCACATTCAAACAAACTTTTACAGAAAGTTTCAATACATTGTATAGAAAGTCATATTTGAGTCTATTGTCAGTGTTGTTGTGAGTGTGTGTGATGTTACGCCGCTTTTAGCAATATTCCAGCAATATCACGGCGGGGGACACCAGAAATAGGCTTCACACATTGTACCCATGTCGGGAATCGAACCCGGGTCTTCGGTGAGACGAGCGAACGCTTTAACCACTAGGCTACCCGACCATCCCGTCAGTGTTGTAGTCTGTAGTCGTAATTATGGATACAGCCGTGTCAGTGTTTGTATAGAGTCATAGACTTATCAGTTTCGATTGTTATACGTACGTGAAGTTAAGCAACGCTGAGATTTCTTCAAGAAGGTCGAAGCATAGCCCATCAAAGCCAGAACTCGTTGTGTCCGATAGTTTCACAAATGGATCCCACTATAAAGAATGAACTATTCATTACAACATTACAACAGTTTAATCTTACTCATGGATTGTGTTAAGTATAAAAGATTTTTTCTTTTGTTTCAAGGGAACATAAATTTCAAGAACCTTTGACATAGGTAACAAAATGTGTCAGCCAATAAATGCCTGTTCAACGCACATTCAAATCACTGTCAAAATAAGCTATCTGCTACCGTATTGCAATTCGCGCACTGTTAATTATGAAATGCAAGCACTCGATATGATAGTATAGTGAAGTGAGCATAAGATAATCACGCGACTCTCACATTTTAAGCTTATGTAATAATTTAACATCGCATTAGCTATTCATGTAACAAAGCAACTAACTATATTGGTTCCAACATGTAGTGTGCGCCTATTAAACCCAAAGTCGGTGTTGGGAAAGACCTCTACGTTCAGAGTTAGATGTCCTTCCAGATCAAAGAATCCAACCGGGCTAAACTCTCGACCTTCCTGTCTGTATAACAAGGTATCTATCCGTCCCTGCCAACTCTCCGTGTCTTTCTCCAGCATCTGAATGTGTAGTACATAGCTTGAATAAATATTGTGGACGAGCGAAATAACGTTGTTGTATACAGAGCCGACCAGTATTTGTTTTATCTCCTTAAGGCTAATGTCGCAATTATCGCAATGTTTGTAATTAGTGCAATAAAACATCTTAATAAAATAATCATTACAAACTATTTTAGATATGTATGACGTTAAGCGGCATACTTTTGTATGTCTGCATCCACAAAATTCCACCTGTTACTGACATTACCTGGACCATGTCGTGTCTGGTTGTGACATAGCCTCGACTCGTGGCATTATCGACACATTGGCTGTAGACATTGTGTAAATGTTGATGGAGATCAAGCTGAAAGTAGTCGAAGCATAAGTGATATCTACATATCAAAATAACCGTGAGTGATTGTGTTGGGTTTAAAGCCGTTTTGTACAGTATTCCAATTATTTTAGGGCGAATCAGTTTAATGTTTTATGTGATGCAGGTCTCAGAGCTACATCTTTACAACTTTAGTGTAATCAACGAGCACGGGTAATGGTGCTGACAGACCTGGAAATGGATTCGAACCGGGATTCGAACCCACAATCGTGAGATGTGTGGGGTTCTCAAGGAACGCAAGTATGCACAACGAGATAGCAGCTCCTTAGACGACTGGGCCATCCGTGCCCCCAAAACAAACATGAACTCGCCACGTTCGTAATTGACAATACATTTTTCCATTTCCATCAGTTTACAAAATGTTGCATGCTTAATTGGAGACACGTTATACAGTTTATTATATTCAGCACGACACGTCAGTAAAGTGCATTAAAGCAATTAGTTGGGGTATGTGATATTTGCGTCATGATTACATGTAGTCGGTTTAAATGTGCAATGAAGTCATTTCATAAATAAATGTATTTGTGGGAAACTTGCTATTTAATATACTACTCAAAAGAAGTTAAGGATCACCCGATTCTTTCCTATTGGTAATGTTAATCTGTCATGGCATGCGAGATTAACTATTGTCATATGAAAGAATCAGGTGATCCCTTACTTCTTTTGAGTAGTATACTTTGTATTTTCTTATTTCTGTAATATAGGCCGGGTTAATTGTGCACACTTTTGTCATATATGTGTCGAGAGAGTACATGCATATTACACTAAAGGATCCACTTGATTTCGGCAGCGGCACCGTGACCAAAGCAAGATTGTCTATTCCAAGGTCATGGGTAAGACACACTTCTGAGACATTTTCTTGATAGATGAGCCATTTTGAAAACTTCCAGATCGCTGTCCTGTTCTGATTCCTTTTGTCAAACACGTTCGCCTGAAAACAATTACGCTATTATTTCACCCATCGATAAAGGAAATCGTATGCATAAAGCTATGCATCTTGTTTTGTTAATTTAATACACTCAACAAAGCTTATAATAGTTTTCGTATTGTCTTATTATCTTGTACAGGATATAGTGAAAGTTCGTTAACGCGAAGTCATCAAATCTCAAACATGTTTATCCAGTTATCCGCAGATCAATTTAAAAAAAAAAAATCAGAAAAATCTTTAAAAAATGATTATGCTTCAGAGTGTTGAAAAAAAAGAAAATGTCTGCCACAAAAAACAACAACATTGTTTCAAGAAGAATGTTGTTTTTTTTCAAATTACCAGTTAATTACAAATACCTGGTTTTGAAGCTGTGGCTAAAAAAAATATATTGTCTCAATTAAAATTCCCAGCCTCTTCACCCCCACCCAACCCCAGAATATCAAATGGTCGGCCCTTCACGATAAATAGATTTTAAATAGAGCCAGTCGATGTCGAGTTAAGGTTTGTCTGTTTCACGGTCTGTAAATAAGCTAGGACCAGCCAATACAGTGATAGATATTGAGAAGAACGATCCACGCTGTTGAGGTACGATGACGCCCAATCAACCAAGTCACCTAGCCTGACCCGCCCGTGAAGAGCCGGGAAAGAATAGCTCTAGATCTTTAGCAATCCATGCTTGCCGTAAGAGGCGACTATGTTTGTCGTAAGAGGCGACTAACGGGATCGGGTGGTCCACGAACATCATGGGACCTCTTAACACGGAATCCACACAAAAAGCGCATTGTAAATAGTTTAGTTTCGGATACCTGTTTGAGCAGTTTGTTGAAACAGTCCACTTGGCACATAATGAGGAGGTTCCTGTTCTTAGCCGTGGTGTTGTTATAGAGTGACAACAGCTGTCTGTATGAGGCATCCGATGTCACGTCACCATCGATAATGTACGTGACAGCCTTTATCCCTTTCGAAGACAGCGTGTCAGAGAGAGTTGTAACTGCCTGTGCTGCGAACATTGTTTATATTTTGTAGTTCTGAGCAGAATAATTAAATAATGTACATCAAGCTTTGTTTAGTATTGATCATCGTTATCATACTTAGATGGCCTCATTTCCTTCAACACCTCATCTGTCCAACAGGGTTTGAAATCAAAGAAACAACTTAGAAATCTTATTCAGTGTCTTCTCTACATCTGCTCCTCATTGTGATAGCAGCCTTTCTTACCAATCTGTACGACAAGAGTAATTATTTCGACTTTCCCATCGTGAATTTTCCCCCATGTCGAACAATAAACCACCAGCTTCAGCTTATGACCTTAGGAACACTAGCTCATGTACACTGTATTCACATTTAAGACACTTTTCTTGCAAATAATCAATATTCAATGAAGGTTTCACCACGAAAGGCTTGGTGTAGTCATTGCAGAAATGTTGGGTGTACCGTTACACATTCAGAGCAATTTACGAAATACGAAACGTTGCCTGTCAACTTGATATACGCAATGCCATCCAATGTCATATCCTTCACATGGAGTTTTCACAACTCACTGGAGCTTACTTTTGAATGTTTACTCTTTTCGCGAACACCTGTTGTCATCACCAATTTTCAGTGATCCAGTTACATAACTTTCATCAGTATTTTGATTTAATGTTTCAGCAGATATTCGAGACGATTCTCTAATTGACACGTTTTAATTGATAGACGCCATGTAAATTTTGTAATTATTCACATCAATCTATGAAACATTGTAATTGTACCTATTAGCAAATTTCTATATTATCGAATCATATATTTTACAAAGGAATATATTTGGACGTTCACAGTTATAATCATCCAGAAAGCCGGGTTTCTAACCGAGTTTGCCTTTATTTATCCATTCAGTGTTCATGTCAGTTATATACTTTTGTTTCCAGAAGGTGCCGTCTTTTAGTCTCCTCAGAGCAACGGAATACCTTTCTTGTACTCACCCATTCCATAGTCGTGAAATATGGACACTATGTTCCATTCCAGCATGCTGATCAGTTTGGGAAACATCTTAATGACTGGGTTGACATTGTTGTGTCCAAATATATCCATTGCGCCATCAGGTTCTTGCCCCAAGTCCGTATTATCATTACACGCCGACATTGGAAGTGCTGGAGTGTAGGCACCATGGCAGGTTAAGGCCACGTCAACCAATTCCGGTATCATGTCAGTGATTCTACTGTTACACAACTCTCTGTTCATTATGATGACTTCGTCGGCGGCGGGTAGAAGCAGTGTTCGCACTGAATCAAGTTTAAAACTTCTTAAAATACAGAGAATATGTTCTCATGTGACATGGTTATGGTAAAATGATCGATTCCGATTAGTCAATTAGAGGTTTCAAATCGCTATAACGAGCTCGGAATGAATCAGTTGATTTGACGACCGAATCTCCACAGAAGGTATTATTCTCAGGAACGGACCTTTTTTTCAATAATGGTTGATATACAGTTCATAAAGTGATATTAACAATTATTGGTAACAAAATGAAGGGTTTTGGTTCCTATCATGCGGATGACAATATAAACTGAGGGCCAAAAGTATCGTTACCAACATTAACTGATTTGCCACTTTGAAACAAAGATGCCAACCTGTTCAAAAACAGTAACGAACTCATCTCACGAATACAGCCTGCATGTTCTCTGTCGTTCTTTGCACGTGCTTTGCGGATTTTGGGAGATATTGGTGTTTGTCAGCAATTTTTTTAAACATTCTTTCCCAAATTATCGTGCAATTTCCGGGTATAAATTACGCACGGATCTTTTCCCTATCAATGGTTGCGATGATTAAAACCAACGAACATGCCAAGACTGACTGATGTCCAGAGGGAGAGAGACATAGGTATGCTGCAGATGGGAGCGACACAGAGAGAGGTTGCCATTAACATGAACTGCTCCAAGATGACCATTACCAGACTGGTCGCACGTCTCCGACAGACTTCATCTGAGTAACAGATTTCTTACTGTGACGTCATCAGCTGCCAACAGCTTAGGACATCCGGTCACAAGACAAACAGTGACCAGACGACTACGACATTATGGTCTCCGGGCTTATCGCCCTTTCAAGGGCATGACCTTTACCAGTCAACATCGACGTGCCAGATTGACGTGGTGCAGGCAAATTCAGCGATGGCAACAAAGGGAATTGCGGCGAGTGCTGTTTAGTGACAAGAGTAGGTTCCAACTCTTCAAACCTGATGGGCGGACGCGAGTTTATCGACGACGTGTTGAACGTACGGCTCCTTGTTGTGTCCAGAAGGTGGAACCTTACAGGGGCGGAAGTGTGATGGTCTTGGGCGGCCTTTGCGGGGACGAGAAGACGGAACTTGTCAGCATCGAAGGCAATCTGACAGCACAACGCTACATTGACAATATCTTACGGCAAGAGGTTCTTCCTTTCATCCAGCGTCAACAACGGACGGTGTTCCAACAAGATAACGCCACACCCCATAAAGCCCGTATTACTAAAGACTTCCTCAAAAGCCAACAACGTGACTGTCCTGCCGTGGCCAGCTCGATCACCAGATCTGTCACCCATAGAACATCTCTGGGACCAGCTGGGGCGTCGTCTTCGGAAACGTCAACATCCACCCTTCACGAGACAAGCGTTGATCTTTGCCCTCCGTTGGGAATGGAATCGGATACCTGCAGTCTATGTGAGGACGCTTGTCTATTCAGTTCGACGCCGCATTCGAAGATGCATTGCCGTTCATGGAGGTCATATCCCGTATTGAACGGTCTGGGCCGTCGTCACCTTAAAGTTGTAACCAATGTTGTTGATCGAATACTGGACGAATGACCCTTTGTCAAGAAATGTCCCTGTTGGAGGTCAAGGACTTTGTAAATTCGCATTTTACTGTTCTGAATGATGAATTTCAACAATACAATTGTTATTGCTGCTTCAAATTGTGTTGGTCATATTTTATCCTAGAAATATCGTTGGTAACGTTTCTTTTGGCCGTCAGTTTATTTGGGCCAAGAAAAAAAACTTTTTTAAAAACGATATGCAGAGCGCGTTGGAGTGGTGATGGCTTAAAATTCGGTGGCAGTCCTCTGTTGCGCGTTCAGTTACGAATTCGTCATCGTCAATTCTATTCGTCAAGGTTACGAAGCTTTACACAAAATCTTAGGTTAATAACTGCTTCATCAGCAAGAATTTGTGACAAGTAACAGGTGAGGTGAAATGGGGTTTATATAGCGACGTGCATGCACGTATGTTTGTGGCTGCTTGTACTAGTCCGGACCGATGCTGATTTATAGTCCTAGCCCATTGAGATAACATGCCGCAGTTTAACATGAATACCCCACTCACACACAGTATACTGACTCCGAACAGTTCTTGTTTTAGCCCCTTAATGCCGAGCGTCATACAGGGTAACAACAAGTACCATCTTTAAACGTCTTTTGGTATATATGACGCGGCCGGGGGTCGAACTCCGGACCTTCCGCTCTCCGGGCGTACGCTCCACCTCCACTACTACTAGACCACGAAGGCGGTCGTCAGACTAACAACACTTGAGACAACAAATTGTGTAATTCGTTGCACAAATGTACACTTATACACTTATATTCATTTCTCTAAAACATTCTTTATGGATCTTCTGTATTATTCCGTTCAACGATTTCATATATTGTCTGTTTAAAAGTGAATATTTTTAATGCCGCAGTTAGCAATATTCCAGCGCCATAACGACGGCCTGTTAACAGCTGCTCGTGGATAATGCCAAACTGTCCTTGAAATGATAATCTGTACAGCGTGTGGACAAACCACATAATGTATTCCACCAACGCATCATTGTGCATTCAAATTGCATTCTCAGCTACCTGGGAGGTACAGTCTCTGGTAATTGCCATCTCAACCTGTCAGGAACCCATTTGCTGCAGCTGGTTGAACAGAGGCAAATTCTAAGGAGACCCCTCAGGATGCTTATAGTCTGTTTTGTGGAAGAGGATGGTTACTAGAGAGGTCAAAAACGGTCAAATGTCATCTATCCGGCTACTCGCCGCCGCCAGCTTTGAATAACTTTCTATGCACATACCACCACATCTGGCTTTACTAGTGTCATTTATAAACGGCCCTGGATGAAATGTTTACGTTTTACTAATTACATCTAAATAAGTGCCAGAAATATAACTGCAGAATACAACACGCCTTAATGGAAAATAGTATGCTTAAGCTCATGCTTTATACTGTATTGAAACAAGGTGTTGGTGTTGATTACTGTGATGTTACCAATGAAGTTGCTATGGTGATTGTACTAAATGATGGATGTGTACAAAAAATAAAGCTTGGAAAAAGTAAATAATGGCCTAAAATACAGAAACGTATTATTTAACGGAAATTCGTGAAAGTGCTGCATAAAAAATAGAAATCGTATCAATGACGTTGTGATAGTCGAACTATAAACAGAACACCAAGGATGAGTCTTCAAAGGTATTTAGAAGTCGTCTGATAAAATGCAAGAAGTATCCCTGAAACGTTGCGTCTGTATAATTATACAGGTTGTCATTGGTGCAATGGATGTCAAGTTTGTTTGTTGTGAAACACATTATCAAATAAAACATTCATGTAATACGGAACCAGAATAAACAATGACCCATTCAACCATCAAACACATCAGTTATACTTACAAGAACGGGCGAACATGAAAGGGGTTTCATATGAAACCGCCTTCTCTGTGATCTCCAAGCTGGTGTTTGTAGAATTAATAGTGACCATATCCACATCGCTGACATAGTGACTTAAAAACACTGAAAGAACAAAGTTTATGATTTAGTGAACGTTATTTTACTCCACAGTCATTAATATTCCCCCTTTTGACAACGGTTAGTCAATACTTGAGTCTGCAGGCAAACCGCACTATACGTTCATTTATTACCTACGAGTGTAGACGTATCGGGGTTCATAAAAATCATTTATTACCCACGTGGGGAAGATACAGGTGGTAAGATACTAAATCCGTACGTCATACGTGAGCCGTACAAGGTTGACCTCGTTCTTTTCGTTTTGATTGGATAACCGTGACCTCTGTCACACCGGGACTACTTTTACATTCATGAAAAATTGTGAGACGTCTTTCACTGTTACAACTACAAGGCAGGACTGAAGGCATCTCACGAAAGCGAGAGACGTTACCACAAAACCAAACAAAAGTCACATGCCTTAAATTCGCTTTGGATTCTATATTAGATATACTTAGAGCTGCTGCAGGCATTATATAATCGAGCCATATCCATATGCAATGTCTACCGATGGATCGAGGGTCCCAATGAGCGTCACTTTCGCAACTTTCAATTTGATTAAACATAAAAGGTTAAGCGTGGTGAAATGAAGTCACTTTAAACTATCTGGATATATAGACTTACGTTTGATACTCCGGTTGTGCCATCAGTGTCGCCATTCGAAGCGTGTTTTGTGACATTGCTACCGAAGGTGTTTGTTCATGAATGAACATACACTACTGCACGACAGATCACTAAAAGTGACGACACTCGTGGCGTAACAAAGTATGACATGAAAACTCATATAAGATCCCCTATATATCGTGATCATTAATCTGCAATGTCACTATCGGCCTGGTCACACATTTTTACCACGCCAATTTACATTTGAAAGTGTTGCAAAATTACGTTTCGCGCACGCCGGTGTTCAGACGCCTATTGCACAACATATATTTCGCACTAAGATATATATATATATATATATATATATATATATCCGTAACTGAATTAATCATATATTTTAATGGCAAATCTTATCTTTACGAGTACGTTCCTTAGGACACAGCTATCGTTTTCACACTTGATGACAAAGAAATGATAAGATTTATATATATATATATATATATATATATATATATATATATATATATATATCCGTAACTGAATTAATCATATATTTTAATGGCAAATCTTATCATTTCTTTGTCATCAATACAAATGGTCCAGACGAAATCAAGCGAATTCAAAATTACGTTTCGCGCACGCCGGTGTTCAGACGCCTATTGCACAACATATATTTCGCACTAAGATATATGTATATATATATATATATATATATATATATAGCTATCGTTTTCACACTTGATTGAATTCGCTTGATTTCGTCTGGACCATTTGTATTGATGACAAAGAAATGATAAGATTTATATATATATATATATATATATATATATCCGTAACTGAATTAATCATATATTTTAATGGCAAATGTTATCATTT